GCGCTGTGTGCAGCTTCTGAGAAGATACGCTATTAGCGTAGCGGGAGTGATGCAAAATGCGCAGCCGACTTCCTCGCTATGCTAATAGCGTATCTTCTCAGAAGCTCCACACAGCGCGCCAGTTTAAGTAGTAACCAGCACACGCTGTATGCAGCTTCTGTCGCAACTGCAGGGCGCAGATGCCATCCGCAATTAAATCAGCTCTCGGCGCCCATCGGTTGCGACATGCAATGAAAATTATTAGTGCCACCCCAGATCTGACTGTGGTATCTTATGTGCCCCCCCTATATATTGTTCCTAGAGTCACCACTGAGTACAATAAATTGATTACCCTCTACCATGAGGCCTGTGTTTTCTCGACATCTGTAATTGTGGGTTTAATTTAAAGCGCCAATGCTTTCTATTGAGCATGGATATATGCCATGGGTAGCTGTATTATTACAAAAGGAAAGGGTTCCATTGTTTTCAGAGGTCCCCTTTAATTGGATTTGTGGAAAAAAAATGGCAGACTTGGGGCCACCTAAAATCCTTTCTTCTGAAATAGTACCTACTGTATATACAACTGTGATTAATGTAATCTGTAGAAAAAGAATTTCCGTTACCTGTCTGGTAGATGAAACAAAGAGAAAGCAGAGCTTATTAATGAGGAAAAATCCATGAATGCCGGCAATCATTCCCATTATCTTCCACAGGTACTGTTTCTCCTCTAAGTAAGGTTCTTCACTCTTTCCATGGTGATCATGGGACATGTTGTCATGGATACCCAGAACCTAGAAATTCATAAATGTGAAATTGTATTAAAGTGGCTCTCAAGCCAGGTTTGGTTATCACTGGCAGCTTCAGTACTGGATCATATGGATAATGTAAAGAAACATACTGTCTAGTTCTCATCCCAGCTGTTGAAGACACCACTAAGATGAAGTGGAAAAAAACTGCAGGTTCAGTCACCTGTTCATCATTTGTGACATATCTACCACTTTCTGGCATCCTGACATAGCTACCATCGTAATACGACTGGTTTTGGGTGGATCAAATGAGACTTTGAACCTGCCTCTCTTTAATGTGACTAGAGGCTAGGTGTAAAAGTAGGTCTTAAGATCTGCTGGGGCTTGTAGTTTGGTCATGACACAATGATGGTATTGCCAACCTTATTTAAGAGGCAACAGGGCTTTCAAATTAAAGCAGCTACATACATTCCAAGTGCAGCAAGACAAAACCTATTGCAAGACTTACAGTTTGTATTTATTTAAGAAAGCAAAGAACAGCCTGGGTAGAAATGCCCATCCCCTTCTACCATGCTGTGGAGTGGAACATTTGCTCTATGTGGGGAAGCAGCAGTCTCTCTGCAGAAGGCCACCCCACCCCCTTGTTGATTCAAAGCTAGAGCTCTCCAATTAGCAGGAAATGTGAGCTTTGCCGATTCCAAAGCTATAGGTCTGACTTAGCAGGCGGCGTGATGGACCTCTGCAGAGGGACCACTGCTTCCCCGCAAAAAGCAGGGGTCCCACTCTGCAGCTGCTGCTTATGCTCAAATGCATCACCAGGACCTGCTGCACAGAAAGTGTTCAGAGGATATAGGACAACTCTGAATTTCTAACAAGATAAACAGGTATTTTGTGTACTTATCAAACAGATATAACAAAATACTTCCAATTCCAAACAGAGCAGAAGGGAGCAAATAACATAAGCTCATTGTTAGAGTTAATATATACTTTAACACATGGTCAGAATTTTGGCATCACAGAGAAGTTTCCAGCAAGGATATGTCTGTGTCCCACATAAATCTAGCATATTCTGAGGTTTGGTGCAGGCTTTAAGACCACTAGCTCAGTGGCTCTCAACTAGTGAAACCCACATTTGTTCTTAGTCATTAAGTCACGACCCAAGTCGCACTACAATGGATTGCATGGCATTAGGGTACCACGTGTTTATTTGAGGGTGTACGAACTGTAGGTGGAAGGTGCGTTTGGGGTAGCATTCAAATGAATATCAATGCAACACACCTCCCGCACCAGAATGAATGGTAGGTGCTATTGTGTGGTACAGTTTAACAAACTGTACCAGTGTGAACGGGCCCTCAAAAACACTGACATACATACACAGACACAATCTCACACACTCAGACATTCTCACACACACATACACACTCGCAACATTTTTTAAATTTTAAGATCCACCCAGTCTCCCTATCTTAGGAGAACTGGAGTGGATCCTCAGCCTGGAGTCCAGTGTGGCCTGCTGTGCCGTGATGGAGCTCCATCCATATGTGCATTGCTTGTTCAGCTCAATTGCGGGCCCTATGGAGTGCCGGGAGCTAGAATGTGACGTCACTCCGGACCAGGCACCTCTACAGGACACGTGAGGGAGCTGTAAGCAGTGCAAGTAGGGATGGGTGGAGCTCCCGCGCGGCCATAGCCCCATCCCATCTCACCTTAAGCTTACACTCGGTGCCGGCCACCAAATATTGAATGGCTGCTTGGCATGAGAACTGACAGTGCAGCACTAGGGGGAGGCAGAGGAGGCTAGAAAAGTGGCAGGCATGCGGTGAAGAAAGAAAGAAAGAAAGAAAGAAAGATAATGAAATAATTTAAAAAGTAAGACATTCCTTGTAGGGAAAGATAATTCTAATTGGCTCCAGTAAAGATACTTCTTTACCTGGGGAATGAGATGCAGCAGAGCATCACCAGACAGCGTTCCGACCGCCAATCCCACGAACAACTGCAGGATGAGTTTGTAGCTCTCCTCACAAGAACTGAAGATGATAAGAGTGGCGCCAAACATGGACCCGACTGTCAGAAGCAACACTGCAATTGTGCTATAGCCATATCCTAGGAAACATTGAAACATAGAATTTGTGTTATCATAATAACAACGCCTTTGTGTATTTTATTTAATGTTACATTTTGTATTATTATTAATGTGGTATTTTTATAAAGACCAGTCACTACTGCTCTCTCTTCTTGTGCAGGGTGACTGGTCTTGTATCATATGCCCCCTCCTGTAGTTTTCTGCAAGCAGGCTGTATTGGGTGGCACCTTCCGGGCCCCTCCCGCAGCACTGCTCTCTGGATAGGAGGATAGTGATGGTGGCACCATTACACTTACAAGGTAACACCTGAGACACACAATGTGGATTTATGACTATTGAGGAATATATTTAAAGCCCATTTCCACCTTTGCGGAGGTATTTAAAAAAAAAAAGCACATGCCAGCAATGAACACCGATTGTACATGAAGCAGGCATATGCAGTTGCTGTATATGAACACATAAACTTACATTTTTGTTGGCTTTTCTCTTCATATCCTCATGGAAATGGCCGCAACTGTGCTCTGCAAGTAATCTGTGCAAGTTACAACTGAGCTCTCTTTGAGCTTTATTAGTATTCATAGTAGCACCCCACCCCCTGGACAGTGTATTGTGTGCAAAGGCAGAGCTGGTGTTTCGTGATTACACAGAATCACAGGGAAGGGGGCAGCCTGCTTTACAATCCGACTGCAGTGTCAGACTGAGTTTCCTGTGGATAAGATGTTGAATTTCCAGGATTCAGGCCTAATAAAAAGTTCATAAAAAATGAAGAAAGCCTGCAATGTGAGTCATAAAAATGTGTACACATCAGCACTGCACCTCTACATTACCACAATAAATGCTAATCACTTACAAAGGTGGAAATGGACTTTGTTCAGCTTCATAATACTTCATACATATAAGTAATTACACATTTATATAAAAAAAGATCAGCCTACTAATAATATAAGTATAAGACTTACTTTCTAGAGTGGTTGGAGGAGGGAGCTGAGTGCTCGTATTGTCTTCAACTGGGCACGTGCAAGAGAGAAGTTGATGGATAATTGCTGGGCTGATCAGTTTAAAGTGATCCCGGGAAATTGGAGACTGGCTGTTTTGTAAGATGATCTTCACCAGTTCATAGGAAGAAAAGCAAAACTGACCCTGAAAACATAAAGTAATCCACAATTAAAATATAATTAAAGGGTTATTAAACCCTCGCATGTTTTCGCATATATCTACTGCATATATTTTCTGACATCCCCTATAGTAAGACTAAAATTAGATGCTTTCTATGGCTCATCCATGCCTGTAGGGAGGCAGACGCAGCAGCTATTTCCATTACAATGCTGAGATTGCGCCAAGTGTTTATAATGAAGACTAATCTTTCCATTCAGGAATCAATGTGAGAAAGGATATGGTGAATCAAACAGCTATTCCTTCATCACAGAGAGAGGTATGACTCTGCTAAATATGCTAAAATTTTTGCAAACGTAAATAGTTTATCTACAGGCCCATTCAGACTACGGGCCCATTGTGGTAATACGGATTTATTGTGTGTTACCGCAATGCATGCCAACTCATGCCTTCAAGTGTGGTGTGTTGCCGTGAAAGTCATTGTGAATGGCACCCAAATGCACTATGCATATGCAGGCAATGCACCTACACTGCAGCACATCCCAACACTTATGTTGTGCGATGGGTTGATATAAAAGGATCATGTGCGTTGGGGGCGTTGGCAGAGCTTTTAAAATGTAACATAATGCATAAGTACATACAACACTGCCCCGCTAGTGTGCACAGCTCTGTCTGGTAGGTCAGGAGACATGATTTTTCTTCTGTTTTTAATTAAACACATACCTGCAGACTTGGTGTTTCTTTATCTGCCTAAAGTTCATCTTTAAAGGAAGGTAGTAGACTTGATACTGCTTGATATACAAAGTGTTTACTTGAAATCAGATTTGAAATAAATCTGAATTTTCCTATAGATTTGAGTGGACCTGTGCTTTAATTGCTAATTAAGTCTTTGCAACTTTTTTAGGACCATGATGTCAAGATCTTCCTGCACCCTTTTCACACCTTCTAGTGTCACTGTATGAGCTCTGTATATATACTACTAGGGAGAATACACCAGGGCAGGGGTAGGCAATCTCAGCACTCTAGCTGTTGTGGAACTCTAACTCCCATGAGGCATTGCAAGACTCTAGCAGCCACAGGCATTAGTCTCAGAGGCAGAGACATTATGGGATTTGTAGTTTCAGCACAGCTGGAGTGCCAAGGTTGCCTATCCCTTCATTAGGGGGGGAAACACTATCACTTGCTCTCTAGTGTCTTCTGTAGGGAGCACAGTGGATAAGTGGGTTGCATTCTAATGTGCATATCTAGGTTTTCTGGTTTGCTTCTCACTGGAAACACTGTCCATCCAAGAATCTGTTAGAATCTGTTATGGAATCAGTTCCCCTCTGTTGTTGTTCTTCTTATAAATCTAATGTGATGTGCAAAGCCTTACCTGATTCCACCCAGCCGAGTCACCTCGCGACTCGGGGATATTATGATGGCCGTCTTTAGGTTCGTCACTTCTTTCCACTGACGGGACAGGTAAGGGTTCATGATTTGTCCCAGGTATTACAAGGCTTCTCATTTTCCTCCTATGGTTGTGGTCTGTGTGTTTGATGCATGACATCACTCCTTTCAGCCTCCCAATAAGTTCATCAATATCTAAGGAACAGTCAGTTACCAGTTATTTGTATTAGAAGAGGATCTATTACAATTGAATATCTTATATGTGACTAGGGTATTAAAGATGACTTGTACCTGATGAACAGCTGCCTTTGCCATCACCCTCCCCTTTAACCCCCTTTGAATAACCACAACATGGACACCAACTGGAGGTTTAATGACCATAGCAGTCTTTTATTAAAGTTATATATACCTCATAGAACAACAACAGCAGTCAAATAGGTCCCAAAGTCCTTTAAGGCATGTTCATCAATACACGTATTTGTGCACCCATAAGATAAGCCTCCTTCCTCAGGAACACCAGCTCAAAGACAGTTGCACCCTTAACTGCAGATACCGCCACTTACCACTATTAAACCGATATTACCTATTAAACAGAGGAAGATATGGGAATGTACCTAAGACAGGCCCTACCCACTTAAAATTTTACCACAATGTCCACCTTCAAGGACTTTGAAAACCCACCTGCTGCTACAACAATACCCATCAATACCCCAAAATATACAAAGCGATAAAACAGCTACAAAAAAAATAATTGGAAACAAAAAAAGGTATGTGGGTGTGAAGGTTGCCCAACCACCAACTCTGCGGCTGGCCAGAGGAAAAATCTCACACTGAATTACTGCACAGAACTGGAAGAAATACAGAAAGCTCACCAAGATTCACGGAAGAATGCACAAGCCTCTGGTATGAGGACAATATTTGCTTATCCCAGGGTTCAGCTTTACATGGGGAAAGTAAGAAAAGATTAGAAACTCAATATGTTTTTCTGCTGTAGGCTATGACGCCATTGGAGAGATTTCCCTGTACTTTTCCATGGAAAACACAACTGGGGGAGAAATTGAGGATCAGCTCCAGTGGAGTTGCACACAGCAGTGAAAGACTGATGGAGGTTGTAGGCATCCCCACTCTAAGAAAAAAATGTATTAATGGTGACCCTGTTGCAGTAATTTCCCCTCATTTCCTGCCTTGTTAACAATTCTGCGGAATATACAGTGCCAAGAGTGTCACCTTGATAGGAAGTCGAGGGAAATTTCCCTATAGGCAGAAAGAAGCAATGAATGGAGCTCCACTTAAAAGAGCTAATGTCTAAAAGGGAATGCACGATTGATTTGTATATATACATACTGGTATATACATTCATATAAATAAAATGAGAATGTATATTTGGTTTCTAATAAAGTTCACTTGCCTGGAGCAAACAGCTCATTAGTTCTGTTTAAAGACTTGAAGATGGTCTCAGTAAAGATGTCTGGAGAGGGAAGTGAATATTTTCTGATACAGATACGTTGGATGGATGCTGTCACAATCACTTCAGCCAGTCTGGGAAGAGTCAGTTCATCAATACTGTGTAATGATCCAAAGTCTTTCTCCAGGGAGTCCACATCTGTACACTAGGATGTAAAAAAACAAATATTGAAATAAAAATGGGAGGAACACATTGCTATATTGGTGGCTTTTCTAACTTTACTACCACTCATGCAGTTCCATCCATTAGTGAGGCTGATTTATAAAACTGCGAGCAAGTAATAGTCAAGCAATCATGAACCTGTTTTTCCCCACATAACAATCAGATTTTTCTCTTTATTTCAAGTGTTTGTGTAGCCAAAACTTTCCTTTTTATGTTTTGGATAGAGTAGGGAATGGTTGAAACCATGTTTGAAACCAATGGTGTGTTTTCTGCTTTCTCCTTCCCATTGGGTAGATTTAACTTTACTTACTGTTTTGGAGACACAACAGAAAGTAAGAGAGAATCTCTACAAAGTGAGGGGAATGCCCCTTAAAATGGAGAGTATGGCACAATCTTGAAGGTGGGGGGAATAATATACTAATATAATGAACACAACACAAGGGACTGACCCCTTACAGAAGGAAACATACCATTTGAAAATTTTAAAAGTAAAAGTCTTACCTAGAAGCAGACACCAGGTGAGCTCTCCACCAACTCACATTTCCCTGTCCAGTAAGTGGCCACTGAGGGGGGCATATTGGACAGAGGAATAGCACATAGCAGGGCTTAGACACAGACAGCGCTTAGGGGAACAAAAGAGGCTTTTCTGGCTAAAAGTAAATGATAGATATCATGATATCATTTCTTAGAAAGGACTTTTTAATACTCTAAGGTAGAGTTCAATTGAAAATGACTCTGTGGGCATTGTGGAGACATTCAAAGAGCAGCCACCTATAAAAGAAAGTGGTTTATACTCTGGAAGGTGGTGTGTTGAAACTTTGCTCTCTTGAAGAGCTCTGGTCAACGCTGCTATCTGATATTTAAGGTTGTGTTGGATAGCGCATCCCTCCCTAGGTATTGAGGTTCTTCCTGCAACCCCTACAATCACTACTGTGTCCTGTACTGTGTCCTGTAGTGATATGATCTTAGAGAGGAACTGCTGCACTCCTTACCGGAACCCCTATGTACAAAGGAGGGTGTTGTGGTAAGCACGAATGGCGCCGTGTATCTTCAGATATGTAGAGAACGTTACCAGCATACCTATGACTAGTGTCAACAATCCATCTCCTTTATTGATGCAGACTGTCAAATAACAGCATTTCGGGGCCATGCAGGGTCCCCTTCATCAGGTTTTAATTTCAAAACCTGATGAAGGGGACCCTACATGGCCCCTAAACATTGTTATTTGACAGTCTGCATCAATAAAGATGGATTGTTGACACTAGTCATATGTGTGCGGGTAACGTTTTCTACATATCTGTAGTGATATGAGGCTCAGAGGGAGAAACCACGGCGCTTAGCAGGAAACATGGCATCTGACAAAATTCAAACGTATCGGATAGCAGTGGCACCCAGAGTTTCTCAAAAGAGCAAAGATTCATCACCAGTGTGGTAAGTATAAACCATCTTCTTCTTCAGGGGGCTTTTGGTTAAAGTTACCTTGTGACAGGGTTGCTTTAAATTGTCTGCTTGTTTCATTGATTCATTTATTAAAGATTGCTATAAGGGTAAGTATACACCTCACCCCTTGTCCATCAGATATCTGGAAATGTTGCTTTGTTGCAAGCAGAATGTCCTCCAGTTCATTAGAGGACAGGTAATGGCAATCTTCGTCCTTGTGTAGGTTTAGTAGATTGTTGCGGTAGAAAAGGTAGTCCATGTTAATGACCCCAGCTCGAGATGAGCAGAAATCTTCTTGATTCAATATATAATACAGGAGAATCACTGATATTTTCTTCATGGTGTCCTCATTTAGCTTATCGCCAGGTTCCTTCCCAACCATTGAAAGAATTGTTTCTGCTTGAAGGCACTAAAATTAAGGCAATACACAGTAATTAAAATTACAATTCAACCAACTCCTTCTAAAACTAATATATTGGTTTTAAAAGGTCCACTTTACGCACAGCTCTCCATCCCCAAATATGAATGACTTAAAAAAGCAATAGAAAAATAATGTTTGTACAAAAAAAAAAAGCAACGTCACTATGTACGAGCTATACACTCGAAATCTCAAATTTATACTGGACTTGAAATGGACTGGATCACATTCTCATGAGATTATGATTATGAGCACCTAACTCTCCCAGAAAGCAGCATTGAGACACAGTGACGTTACACGTGCCTCCAAGAAGAGTAGGAAGTCAGGCCAAGGTATTACTTTTTTATGTTTTTTTACAAATTTCTTATTTTAATCACTTTTTTTTCTGATTAAAGAGAATAATATTTCATCATTGAATCAGAGGAGAAGCACAAACTAATGTGAAATAATCTCACCACTGGAACAAGAGGATATCATTCAACCCACCATTGCCCACCACCTAATATCATCTATTAACTAAGCGCCGAAGGCAACCGAGTGAATAACTGAGCCGAAGTGAAGTGAGCCAAATGGCATTTGGCTATTCACTTCGGCCCTTTACGGCTGATTTCAGCCACACATCGGCTAAAATCAGACGTACATCAGCTGGCTTTTGGTTCCGCTTAAATGCTCAGCATATTCGGCTCAGCTGAAGTGAAGGAGCTGTTCAACTCAACTGATCCAACATCTGGATCGGATAAGCCAAACCTCCGGCAGTTCACTTGCTGCCGTTCGCCCCTATTCTCATAGGGGCCAAACGGCAGTGAGTGAATAACCGAATACTGCCAAGCGACATTCTGCTCAGTTATTCTACTCGCTACCTCCGAGGTAGAGGCTTCAATATGCATCATAAGAGCTGCAATTTGAATCCAGTAATATTGTTATGTCCTGATGAACATAAGAGCGTGGAGGAGGACAACCATTCAACTCTATGGAACAGGGCATTTAAGCACATCACACCCTTGTCGGAGACAAGAGTTTAGCTTCTTGCACTTTTGGTAGATCAAAGTCATTTACATAGACTATGAAGCTGTGTAAGCATGCCAACTTCCACTCATAACAGAATAATAGCACTCACCCTGCGTGCATCATTACTTGTCACAACAAAATACAAGATGTCAAGCTGCAACTTTGATGATGCAGTTTGAAGCCAATGTACGAACCTGCTGTTGTTCGCATCACAACTGTTCTTTCTATAAACAAGTCAATAGGAATCCAAAAGGAGCTCAAATCAGGTTGATGCAGCTTAGAAGGTAAGTTGCCGGTCAATCAATATAACCCATAAGGATGGTCCTCGTGATCCAGTTTGGGCCCAGTTGATCTAATTTGAAGTGACACTAAACTCAGGAGTTAAACCTTAAAAATGCATTCAAGTACCTTAACTATTAACAAAAATGTGTCTTATTTGTGTATCAAAGTAGAGGAGAAAATCACCAGCACTCAGTGATATAATTCAATGGGGTTGATTTACTAACCTTATAAACACGCCACAAACAAGTATACACCTCTGTAGTGTGTTCCCTCCCAGCATGATCTATTGGTGGAATCTAAACACCTTTGTAGTGTGTACACACCCAGCAGGTGTGTTGTGCAAAGCCAAGCATGAATTGCAAGGTGATGTTGTGTAAATTATCTCTACGTTGATGAATGCAGGAATGTAAATGCATGAGCTAACCATTTTTGTCTAAACGGTGAAGCAGCATTATATATGCATCATGTGCATGATTTTTCCATATATGGCATTAGTGGAAATATGCTTTTAGAGACTTGCATGCCGCTATTAGAGCGGCGTGTAGCCTATAGTGCATGCTACATGACGCGCAAATACATAAAGGCGCCATAACGGCGTGAAAATGTGACACGTTGCTCGTGTTTGGTTGATAAATATGTTTTGCTGTGTAAAAATGCACACGCACCTGGTGCGTGCTTGTGTTTGGGTTAGTAAATCACCCCCAATATGTCCATTTATTGGACAAAGACGTCACAATAACAAGAGCCAACGTTAAGAGACCGCACAGGGTCCCATCCTCAGGGCAGAAAGACGTGACCTCACCTCACGTCACGTCTTTCTGCCATCCGTGGTGATCACTGCGAGCACCATCTTCTATATAGGCCTAGACTGCTGTAAGGTGTGCGGAGGGCTCCCCTATTTATCCACTTATTTGTGTATCACTCGGCAGTAGATCCTCAAATCATCTCTGAGTTGGTGCTGACACTGTCTTTCCTTCTGGTGGGTGGCTACTTTTGTTCCCCATGGTCCCGTGTGTGTTGTAAAGTAGTCACCGCTGCAAGCTCACTCCCGTGATGGACTACAATCTAAATACCAATTAGTAAACTAAAAGTGTGATTGTAGTCCATCACAGGAGTGAGCTTGCAGCGGTGACTACTTTACAACACACACAGTGATCATGGGGAACAAAAATAGTCACCCTCCAGAAGGAAGGACAGTGTCAGCACCAATTCAGAGATGATTTGAGGGTCTACAGCCGAGTGATGAACAAATAAGAGACATTTGGTACTTGAATGCATTTTTAAGGTTTAACTCCTGAGTTTAGTGTCACTTTAAGCTTTCTGAACATTCTGCAATCATCCACAGGAGTTGGGGTAAGTGCAAACCACAGGAGTCTCTGTGCAGTTGTTTATGTATCTGCCACTCTGCCACACAAGAAACATCCCAATTCATTTTAAAATCTTTAAAACATATTTATATATTTCATTGAAATGTATACTTTTACACCTCTGCATATCTAACAAATAATGTATCTACCTATGATTAAATGCACTTGCCTAATAAGCACTGCATGTTTGCAGACTGTCTGGAAATATTTTAACCTCCTTTTCAACTTGGTGCTTATCCACTTTTCAGAAAGCACTGTGCCTGACAAACACTGAGCTTTTCTGCTGTTAAAACATTCAAAGCACGTAGCCTGACACAATTAGTTGTGGCGCAGCATGGAGAATCTCATTGGAATACCAATCTTGTGTCCTGCCAAATGCACTGCTCCGAACTCAACTCTCACCAAAGTTTGAACACTTTTCTATCTTAAAATCTATGTTACTCATTAATCGATTTAAACATATTAAATGTACATATTATGCAAAATAAACAATTGTATAAAAACATGTTATTTCATGCTTGTGAAATATTTAATATGTCTTATAGAATATTAAAAAAAACAAATCTAAGATGCTGTTTTAAGTAGTAATACATGTTTATAAATATGTAAATGTGAAAAATATAAAACAAAGTAGAAACAAATAAAAATATAACATAAGAGAACAAGAAAAAAGAAAACACTAAATAATATGATCTGAACATTAAAAATTAAAAACCACAAAAATAAACAAGAATTTAAATATTCAAAAACGGAAGGGCGCTAAATAAAGTAAATAAATCCCAAAATAAAAAATGTATATAAGCATTATACCAAAATTGTCTAAAAAATAAACACAGTCTAACTATTAAAGATAAAAATAAAAATGTAAAAATAGAATATATACTATTAACATAAATATAAATGTGATGTATATTAAAAAAAATTATAATCATAATTTAATTGCTAAATCTACTTACTGACCCGATTACAAGTTTGTTGTCTGCCATATAAATTACCAGGGCATTCAACTTTTTCCAGCAACAACGTTAAAGCCTCTTTAGAGCTATTCCTGCGGAGTTCAGTTTCATTCCCAGGCAAAAAACTTTGAAGAGTTTGTAGCAGTCTATGGCTGTGGGTCTGGTTGGTTTCCTCATGGCGGGATTCAGCGTGCTCTTTCATGAAGATTACACCAAAGGCTGAGAAAAAGGCTATTATCCAAAAGGGATGCTTCTTCCAATTCCACATCATGCTTTCTCTTTTGCAGCACCAAAAATAAACATCCACAACGTGTATATTATCACAGGCTTGCTAGAGCAGGACGAGGACTTTACAGGTTAATAGAAAATAGAAAAAGCCTGCTAAGTAGAATGACTGCAATGTGTTTTGAAGGAATTTATTAATTGGTTCACTAAGCTGATTTGCAGTGACAAGCTGCTTCTAAACAACAGGGGTCTGTGCACAGTTTTCAGCATGAAACAGCCAGGCTCAACACCATCAGGGCCATAGGAAATGCTGCTGGTGGGGTTTTGTTTTTTTTTGTCAAATGAATCATAAAAACTTTACTGTTATCAAGAACAACATTTATCCATCATAGAAGACATATTCATCTGGTTGTGATTAACAGATTATGTGGATTGGAGCAACATTCCCCATATATATTCCCAGATAATTCTTCTACAAGTCATTCTGAATTGAGAAAGCTAGTTGGATGACCAGTGAAACATCTTCATGAAAAATACAGCAAGTCCAGCTGCTTTAACTTATTTTTTACAGATAAGGTGATATAACCTTGTTTTCATTTTTAAATCTGCAGTTTTCAAAAATAATGTAGCCACCATGCCCTGAGCAGGAGTGTCTATTTAAATGTAGCTGTCAAGATGGAGCCAGTCTGATTCTGATTAATAGTTTGGCTTTCTAAACTCTGGTGATTGTTTGCTTTTGATTGCTGTTGGGGAATGTCCCTGGCAATAGTGTGGGAGGGGCTTAGGAATGTTTGTATCTCCCTAGCCAACCATTTGTAGGTTTATTGCCAGTGGTGCAGGCTGGGAGTGTAACGTCCGTACCTGCCGCAAGCCAGATGCGTTCCAGCGTGGACCGCATCAGCCGCGTCACGCAGGCCGCTTTCCGCCCAGAGGGGGAGCTTCCATGCTCTCCAGCGTGGAATGCGGAAGTGACGTCAGACCTCATACCGAGTCCGCAGCTGTGATCCATTTCCCTGTCCTTGCAACCAGGTGCCTTACAGGGAGTGGGTATAATAATTTGGCAGTGACTTTGGGCAGCCAGATTTCCCCCAGGTTGGAGGCCTGGATGCTGTGCATTGTCTGATCTTCCTAGGCCTGCTGCTTGAGGAGGGTGACCATGTGCTTGGACTGAGGCCTGGGTTTGAGTCCTAGTACATGAAGCTTGGGGATGGAGATTCTGTGGAGGAACTTCAGCCTTAAGTAGGAGCCTTAGAAGATGGGTAGATGTTTGGTTCTTAACTGAGATATGGTGATTTCTCCCCAAGGAGTCGGTAGCTGCAACATTGAGTACCTTACGTCCAGGAATTGAAATCACAGACTACCAGGATGGCCAAAAAAATATTTACCTGTGAAGTCTGTAAGTACTTTTGTCCTCTTTCTGGAGTCCTAAAGTCCATGGATGTTCTTTTCCCTAGCCCCCTCTACCGAAGTTATCAAAAACATTTTCTGCAAGTAAAAGATCAGCAGCATGGAGTCAGTATTTGGTCACCACTGGTGGGTTGGTATGTGCTTTGGTGTAGCTATGGAACTGTGTACCCTAGGCAGGGCCAAGTCATCCAGCGGCCCCTTAGGGGGTGAGCACTATAATAATACCTGATGAGCCTGTCCTAAAGATCTAAGATTACTTACATTAAGCTGGTAACATGTTTTTACATTTAATCCACAATTAAATTCTATTTTGTTTGAACTTTAGTACTATTTTCCCTCAGGTTTAAAGCAGAATTCAAGCCAAAATGTTATAGTTCTTGATACCGTGGGGAAGGGTTAGAACATGTGTCAGGTTTATATTGCTGTTTCTGTAGCCATTGGGGAGATTTTCCCCCACTTTCTATATGGTCTGTGAAACAGGAAATTAGCAAAATCCCTCCATTTGGGAGCACAGAGAGCTATGCAAATGTTTAGAAGTAGAGTAGGAAAGGGGACAGCCCATGTCAAGTTTTAATTACCATCGATGTCTTCTTTCAACTTTCTGTGTGCTGATAATTACATTAAGTGAGGGCAAATCTTCAAAGCAGTGACACACAAGGCAATAACACCATGCTACGATTATAACCCTTTTTCCCTCTAACCAAACCAAAGAATAGTTTTTAGCTGGAACTAGGTTTTAACATTGGGGTTTCAATGTAATACATATTGGCTAGATCCACATAAAAATACTACTAGCTAATAACTAGTAGTAGTCACATTCAGCTGGACATATTCTGTGTTATGCAGCTTGTCCAAGCTTCTTTTTTCAGTTCTAATGAGAATCAGGAATGTACCCCAACATTTACAGCCACAGAGAAAACTCAGTCATCCTAATTCAATCACAATAGCATGTATCAAGGCCAGGGGCGGACTGGGCCAGGGGGGCAATTGCCCCCGTGCATCTCAGATGCCGTCACGAATGGCCCAGCAGAGGGAGTGAGCCACTGCAGCTGCGGCCACAGCAGACCCCCCCCACAACCAGGGTCTATGGAGCCCCCCACTGACCACCAGGCCAAGGTAAGGTGACACAATTTTTTTTAAAAAATCCGGGGACATTTTATCCCCAGGAACATAAAAAACTTTTTAAAAAATATATTCACCTGTTTCTTGCATCCATCAAAAGTGCAGCCTCCCGTCTCCCATGCTGTTAGAAGCTGCATACAGCGTGTGCTGGTTACTACTTAAAACGGCGCGCTGTGTGCAGCTTCTGAGAATATACTCTATTAGCGTAGAGGGAGCGATGCAAAATGCGCAGCCGGCTTCCTCGCTACGCTAATAGCGTACCTTCTCAGAAGCTGCACACAGCGTGCGCCCGTTTAAGTAGTAACCAGCACACGCTCTATGCAGCTTCTGACAACGTGGGAGACGGGAGGCTGCACTTGTCGGTGGATCTAGGGAACAGGTGAGTATTGAAAAAAAGAAATTGGTTTATTTTTTGTTCCAGGAGACATAATTTGTCTGGGGACGTTCTACTCAATCCGGGGACTGTCCCCAGAAATCAGGGATGAATGTAGGGCTGCAACAACTAATCGACTAAGTCGATTATAATCGATGATTGAAAAAGTTGTCAACATTTTCAATCATCGATTAATCAGCTTTCGATTAGATGGCCCTGTTCACGGCTTCACACACGCCGCGTGCCGCACCTCCTCCCCGCCTCACGCTTGCCACTGCCAGACCTGCCCACGCTCCAAACGCCGCACCTCCTCCCCGCCTCACGCTTGCCACTGCCAGACCTGCCTGCCCACATCCACGCTCCACACGCTGCACTTCCTCCCCGCCTTACGCTTGCCACTGCCAGACCCACCCGCCCGCATCCACACTCCACACGCTGCATCTCCTCCCCGCCTCACGCTTGCTATATATAATGTACTATTGCTGGGTTTTGTAGTCCTCTATAGCTGGTGGTATTCTGCATTGCGCTGTATAGAGGACTACAAAACCCAGTAATAATATATTATACAGCGCAATGCAGAATACCACTAGCTATAGAGGACTACAAAACCCAGTAATAATATATTATACAGCTGGTGATATTCTGCATTGCGCTGTATATTGTACTATTGCTGGGATTTGTAGTTCTCTATAGCCAATTCCATTCTGCAATGCTGTACAATGTATTTCCAGGATCGCAGCAGTCATGCACAGGCACAGCCCTGACGAGGCATCCCTCCACAACCAGTGTGCTTTAAATTTCCTAAACCGATAAATACATTCACACTACTGTTACATGGATGGCAAAAGTGGCAGACAGGGGTGGGGAGAAGAGGCAGAGTGGGAGGGGGGCCAAGTTGCTGCACCGTGGGCCTCTGGGTTGTACTTGCCCCCTGGGCTAAACGTTGCCAGTCAGCCCCTGATCAAGGCAGATGTTGATTGTCCAAGAACAGGATGGAACGTTGCGGAACCACTCTGTTCTAATAACGTAAAACTGGAACAACTATTTCTAAACAGGAGTTGGGTCCTCTGACACATCTGTTTTCCACCTACTTTAACATCTCGATCCTGGTGATTTGGCAACAATTCAAACCTTCACTCATGTAAGTCGAAGGATTTACACCTATTACAGATTTTGTAATTAGAATAGGGTAGTTCCACAATTTCCACACCTCCTATCCTGTTATTGGACAGTCAATATCTGCCTTTAAACATTCCATGATGTTTGGATTAAGGAGGAAGAGTTACCTGTGTGGATATAAATCCCAGGGTATCTTTCAGTCACTGATTAAAACTAAATAAGTGTCTTGGATAAGCTACACAACATCTTCAACATAGCAGAACAAGACCAATTGAATGTGAATAGCTAATACTAGCTATACCATAACATGGACAATTGAGAACCTTCACGGACACTACTAGCTAATGATACCAATGTTTAGTCCATTCACTGATGGTTCAGACCTCAAGTGTTCCAAGATTAAATACTCCATCAGTTCATATTTACTGCCTCCTTGCAGAAGATATTAAGTCTGTTGATAGTGACAATATACATCATGTGTAGACAAGAACATGCAGATTCTAGTCAATTGGTATCACCAGTGAAGGAGGTGAGAGCCTCATGCTACCTCAAGAGGGCACCACCTCAGACAAGCTTCACCAGAGGAAGAGCCCTGCTCCACACTGAACAGACAATAAATATACCTACACAACTGATTTTCATTAACATTTTAATTAATGACTTGTAAACCAGATAGATTTCTCATGTACAAAGTACTTTTCTCATGTACAAAACATTATTTGCAAGCAATAACATCTCATTAAACAATGTGGATACACAACAACTGCTCTTAAGTTGACCTGTTATCCATACACAGCAGAGGGAGCCATTTTTGGGCCGGGTCAGAGAATGTGGCCTATCATTTTATTAGGAACAGCATCTCGGGTCGTAGCGATGTCACTGGATACTAGTAAAGCTACACTTAATACCAGTTCATACCACAAAATGTCTACCCTACTGCATATAAGTTACTGATACAGCGACTGCAATTCCACCTTTCTGAGAAATGTGATATTTGACACTACTAAAATAAACTTTCTAAATAGTATTTACCTATCCTGTTCTATTCTGCTTAAGTAGAATTTTGAAGTCTCTACTTTTTCCAATGACATTGCAGCCAAGACTAAACTGGTGCATTGGCAGTCTTTTGACAATCTGCCTTCGGTTTCCTGCAGGCATCTATAGTATTTACCTATCCTATTCTATTATGCCTAGATAGAATTTTGAAGTCTCTACTTTGTCCCATGACAATGCATCCAAGATTGAACTGGTGCCTTGGCTTCTTCAGTACTTTAATACGCTTCAATTTGTAAGACTCAAAACTCAATGCGTCATTATGCTTGCTATAGCGCACGTTTACCACTTGTATTACTGAAGTCTTATTGTAGCAGTCCAGGGAAGAACACATGCGGGCTGAGGGCATTTGCTACAACAGACCTACTGGCAACTATGTGTAATGATGTGAAGTAATCATATAATTGGGAAGGTCCCCTTTGATAGCACACTTTTGTTATGGCCTTGTAGGTGAGAGAGAAGACCGGATCTAATGCAGGCAAATCCCACTAATGGGGTCTCCATGGGTTACAGAAAGCCAAGACAGAATGCTGGCCATTGGCATCCACCAAATCTGTGACATACATTTTGGAATTGGCCTTTAACTGCAATTTCAATGAACTGAAAGAGAGACTGAAACTGGACTGGCACAAATGGCATAGGCTAGAAGAGAGCTTAAAGGTAATGTTACACTTTAATAGTAGCAAAGGAGTTGGAGTTGAATTTTTCCCTGAATAATGAATAAAAATCTCAGAGCTGATTTAGAGTCCATCCACACCTAGGAATTACTTTTTACATCCATAAAACGAAGAAATTGTTCAATGAACACGTTCATTTTGTTCAATATTATCCACAAGAATGTTGGTGTCACTCGTCGGGGGAACGCGGTTGCCATTGAAGTATAGTGTGTTGTCAAAGCTTTCTTCTGGGGGAGGGGCCTTATTCTGCTTCTTCTTGTACAGATAATAGACTGCAATGGTGCTTCCGGCAACGACAACTATGACAAGTATGACTACGCCCCCTGTTATACCGTGTGATGACTTCTGCTGATCTCCCTTGGACTCCTCTGTAGAGGAAAGCAGAATAAGGGAAAATGTTATAAAGTGGTACAGTGACGTTAAAATGGAATTCCACTTATTGCCATGCCATGTTATGAACTACTACTCTGTCATGAGTATATTGTTAAAGCCTAACTCAAGCCAAGGTTTTCATTTTTTTGTTCTGGATAGAGTAGAGGCGAGTTAAATGTTTTAGCGGTCTTTAATTGCTGCCTGTGACTCCATTGGGAACGTTTTCTCTCACCACCTGCCTCTGGGACACCCGTACAAGAAATGTGAGGTGTGGTTGAAGGCACAGACAGCAATAAAATAAGTCAGAAGTTTTAACCCATCTTTACTCTACTAAAAGTAGGATTTTTTACTTATCAGTAAAATCTGTATCTTGGAGTAAAGTACAGGACACGGGCAAATTTAGAGACAACTAGGTAATATGCAGGTATGATCAGGTGATTGTACAGTGGCCAGAGCAGTGAGGACCCTCATATAACCCCTCTCCCTCCTGGGAATCCTCAGTATTTAAGCAAGCAATAGAGGATATAGAGGGAAGGTCCTGTGTCCTGTTCTGTGCTCAAAGAAACAGATTTTAATGGTAATAATGCTATTTACGGGAAGGTATTTTGGAGTCCGGCTTCCATCTGTTTCTTTGTGTCCTCTTTCTGTTAAGGATAATAAAACGTAGGCATTTAAAGGAGAACTATGGGGTTAAGGCTTTCCCCCATAGTTCTCCTTAGGGTAACGGGAGGACAAAAACTAGCGTCCTCCCGTCACCCTAAGCTCAGTATACCGCGAGCTACAGCTTGCGTATACTGAGACGCCACAGTACACAGCGAGCTACTGCTCGCGGTATACTGAGACGCCGCAGCTGAAGAGGATCCCGACAATTATGTCTGGATCCGCCCAGCTGCGTGAGTGACAGCTGGCTCTGCCTATCTAGAGGCAGAGCCAGCTGTACCTGCCCCCTCCCCCGTCCGATCCGCCAGTCAGTGCTGGCGGATCGGGGAGGAAGGGATTTCAGCCCCTCCCCTTTCACGGCAGAGAGCTGTGACAGGATCCAGAGGTGAGCAAACGCCGCTATGTGTTCGCTCACTTCTCGATCTACTGAGCCGACCTGTGACAGTCTCATTGTTACAGGTCGGCTAGAACTATGAGGTGAGTGAAAAGCACTCACCTCATAGTTCTCCTTTAATCTATGTCTTTGCTTCCTAGCTGCCATCCAATGTCTCAGAAAACAGGGGAGAGTCAGGTCTCTGGACAGCCATATTATATAAAGAGCTAGGCTGAAACTCCCCAAAAGACACAATTTACACTAACCGTGGCTTTTGATTATACACATAAGCCTTTTAAATTCCTTTTAAATATATTTCTCCTTGCAGTGCTGCAAGACCAAATAATAGGCAAAATGTTGCCAAATCTGTGATTTTGCCAGGAAATCACCTTTGCCCAAATTTTACGCCCATTCCTAATTACATTGATTGACTGCACTTTATTGGGAGAAATTTATTATTTTAGACGTATACAAGCACATGATGTTGGATGGATTTATGCTCTAATATACTATATATATTACTGTTGAAGAAGAACGGGAATAGCTATATGAGAAAAGTTCACATGTTTTGCACTTATTATCATTGTACAATGCATGTTCAAGAATTAATTTATGATTATTTACATTTGTATATGTTTTATGCTTTATGGTTAAATGAATAAGGGATAATTGAAATTTAAGACCCTTGCACTGTAAAGGGAGGGTTGTATAGGAGTATTTTGCACTATGTGCATTAGGGATAATGAATGATTGTTTGACACAACTTGATTGGGATATACTGTATATATATTTTTTTGTTTGTTTTTTGGGGGTTAGCACACAGTGCTGTTTTTATTTTCAGATTGATAAGAGTGTTGTCAGTTGTCACCAATCCAGCACAGCTGCTTTAGAGTAGTATTTGATTCCTAACACGGTGTAATACTATCTGATATTCACATTGATTGTTTATATTTGTGTAAGCACAATAGTTTGAACCCATTAACACCTTACTAAGTGAAGATAAAAGTAACATCGAGCTGATTCAATGTAGTATTAATAAGTGTAGAGTACACTGTACCTGGTTTTATTGGCTTTTCTGTTGGTACTGGAGCTGTAAATATAAAATGCAGAAAAATATTTTTAGATGTCATTGTAATTTAAATATTTAACAGAGAAACTTTAAAGTCATACACCAGCCTCTTAGTAAAACACATTCCAGTAACCCCCCAGTTCCACCACCACTTTTAACCCCATTCCAAAGGCCTTCTGTCAGGCCATCACTGGTCCTTGCTCTCCTTCTCCATCAGCAGAAGTCCTTGTTCCTGCACTGAATGCCACTTGTACTCTGAGCCCAGGCTGGTGTGATGATGCTCTCTAAAGGGCTGTGGTTATGACAGCCTGGGCGATATCTAGGTGAGAAACTACTGTTGGGGACAACTAGAAGATGAGCATTAAAGTGACAAGCTGTTTTTGCTTTTTTTTTTACTCTTCATGTATGTAATCTTTGAGCACATCCAGACAGGAGGGAATAATTACTTACTTTTTAGTTTTTTACAAATGAATCCCCTGTAAGAGGAGCAGAACGCGTTATTCCAGGTCCCTTTTGTAGCGTACATCTCTACGCAGTCCTCGTCAGATTGGTCAGACGGTTCCCCGGTGTTCCAGTTTACGTAGTCCAAGGGAGTGTTGTCCAGCCAAAGCCATTTTCCTACAGGCAAACAAAAAAACTGTAGTAAATTCCTTATGTTCTAGTGGAAAACCTCATTAATGCATACTGGCCAATTTACTGAGATGAGAAGAGGGATAGCATTTAGCACAAGGTATGTAGGCAAAGGACAGACCTCTGTCACACCCCCCATGTACAAAAAAACATGGAAAATTAGTACAACAAATAATAAGTTAAAGGGTATCTATGTTCAAAAAAAACAAACAGAAATATATATTTCTATATTGAATTTTCCTTTATATTGAAGTTCTCTCCTATTCCTAATAACCATGTTGACCTAGAAGTTTGTAAACGTACTTCTTGAAGATGCCATACGATGCACTTCCTCAATTTCACTCAGCCCTGCGAATATGAACTTCTCACAAAGCCTGCCTTCTGAACTACAACTGAAAGTCTGAACAATGTAACTTTAGCATTGCTTGCTGGAAGCAATGCATAATGGGATATGTAGTCTTGAGTAATCAAGATTGAATCACATCAGGCAGCAGGAAAAGAGGTGTAAAGCACACTGGCAATCCAGAACATTGGTGAAAGTGATGGGCAGACGAAATGGATTTTTTCAAGTAAGCTTGGATTGCATTATCAAAAACAACTATAACTATATACACAGTACACTAAAGAAACATTGATCATATAAGTGAAAAAGCAACTACTGTACCTTCTAAATTCCTGTATAAACCAGTCCAGAAGGTGTTAACCCGGTCACCCAGTATCTCGGTACTGTGAAATAAAAAGTCTGCTTCCACCTGATCTTCCACTGAAACCAAATTGGCTCCTGAAAACAATCATATTAAAAATCACACCACTGACCATTGGCATGTATACTGTCAAGGTATATATGTGTTAAAGTGACACTATCGAGGTAGCAAAACAAGTCGAAGGTGCCCTGAAATTTGAAGGTGCCCTGCAAGAGAAGATCTACTCACCTATCTGGTAGCTTGTGTCTCTTGTACTGCACTCCAGTACTGCAGCTCCCATCATTGTCTTCGGCATTCAGCATTTAGGCCCCATTCACACTGAGCGATTTATCGCGCAGTAATCCGCGCGATATCGCGGATATTTACCGCGTGATATCGCTCTCCAATGCATGGCAATGGGGCTCTGTCCGTCGCTGTCGTGCGTCGCTACAGCAGGACCCGTTTTGGAGCGGATTTTGCCGCGCTTCTAGTTTGCTCAATGCAACCATTTGCGCGATATCACGCGACAAACCACGCAACATCGCGCAAAATGCAAATCGCGCAACAAACGCGCAATTTGCGAATCGCTCAGTGTGAATAGGGCCTTACGGGGTTGTCTGATGCCCGGGTCTCCTCTGTGTACAGTGGCCCAGTGGTTCCATCCTCCTACCCCTACACCTCTGCGAAGTCCTTTAGTCATGTAGGGGTTGGAGGGTGAAACCATGGTGCACAGCAAAGGGAATGTTGACATTTTGATGTGTTTCCCTGTTGTTTGAAAGCTTTTGACAGTTGAGATTCACTTTGGTTTGCTTTAAAGCTGTATATACAATCTATAAACTGTGTGTGTGAGGCATCCCAGATCTCATCTAATAGGACACGTGGGATAATCTCAGCTTAAAGCTGAACTCCGACCTTCCCTTTAGTCTTGCACAGCTGCTCCTTTCGTGGACTGAAATAGCTTACTCTGATTTCACTGCACACTGTGAGCTTCTTATAATCTGCATTAGATGCTGCAGCGAGTCAGATAGAACCCGCCTCATTTCCTGGCTGCAGAACATCCAGTATTATCTAGACGTTGCTTCCACAGTCTAACTGTCCTTGTCCTGCCCGTTTCTTGCATTAGATTTCAGTTATTTCAATCATGGAGGCTCATGGTCACATGTGGGCATTACCTAGGGCAGTCTGCAAGCAAATATCTGCCTAGGAACTCCTACTCCTCTAGACTGACATCCACCCATCAAAGCTTTTTTGATATTTCTATAACTCTTCCAAAGATACAGCCCACTAAGTGCATCAGAACTGAGGGCAGAGAGGTGGCATGGGGCTGTAATGTTTTCAGGGAGCTGTGTATGGCACTATGCTGCCCCTGCCATCAGCCATGATCTGCCTGCCTTGTGATGACATATCTGGTTCTAAAATAAGGTATTTAATGAAAATGGTAAGATTAAAAAAAAATAAGGCTGTTACTGATTTAAATTTTTGTGTTTGATTAATCACATTTTTTTTAATCGATTAATTTCGATTAATTATAACGCACATACAGATCCAACTACATTGGCCTATACATATACAGCACAGCAATGAAGTAATAAAATGAACTAGGATCACACTAATCCAGCACGTTATTAATCTCACGTGCCCCACTCAATATGGCCGGCGCTTGAATGGGGCAACTTAGAATAATAACGTGCTGGATTAGTGTGATCCTAGTTCATTTTATTACTTCATTGCTGTGCTCTATGTATATAGGCCAATGCCTTGGCTGGCGCTCGTGCAGAAAGTTTCTTGGGCAAACTCACCGGCCCAAGAACGTTCAGGAAGCGACATAGAATATAACATCTGCTGTGCTTGTAAATACCTGAAGATATAACACTGATATACATTGCGACATCTGCAGGTATTTAGGCAAATTCATATTAATGAATGCGGCATTTGCTCCAGACCTGCAGGGCCAATCAGAGACTTGGAGCCACATAAAGGAAAATCTAAGATGCAGAATGTGGGTAAAGCTATCCAGAAGTGAATATATACACTGAGTCTCACCGGCCCAAGTGGCTCCGTCGGCTAACGATGGGAAGGGGGGAAGAGTCCGGTGACGTCACGGACATCGACGTCACTGGACGTCACTGGTTATACTTGAGAATTAACTCTCTAACTTAATGAATTAACAATCATTAACTTTTTTTGTTTCCAATTATTGATTCCTGGATTTATTCCGCATTGTTCCATTTCCTCAGAGCTCCACCAGCAATTGCCTATTAATGAATTGTGGTAGCACGCCTGTATGAGTGGATAGTATGAATGAGATGGAGAACGTTGCCTATTAGTTTTCAATGGGTGCACAGGTGTGGGGTTAGTGCAACATGTTTTTCAGTCATGTGTAACACTTTTGTATTTTGGAATACATTTATACAGTTTTTTGCTACTATTTGCTACTTTGATTCTTATTTGTAACCACTGTGATCAGAACCTTCTTGATGATCAGGAAAAGTTTTTTCTCATGTTGCACAAAAATAATCATTTGATGCCTACAAGCATTGCAGCAATTAAATCAACCTTCTAATTAACATATCATTTAAAAAAAAAATCAAAATCATAAATTCTAAAATGCACAGTTAGGTGGGAAGTATGAGTTTGTAGGTAAGATTCTGGAGAAGTGGCATTTAGATCAGCTAAATTAGTACTGAAGGCATCACACATTGTTTCTGTGTGGGACAGAATAGTACAGCACACCAGCCTCTTGTCATATTATGCACCGCTGTGCAGTCTCCCTCTCATGCTGCTATATTGGTTGCAGTGAGCTCCAGAGTGTGTAGCCAATTATAGCATACATTTATGCTACAATAGGAACTAGAGCCATTCAGAAGGATGACTTGCATATCAATTTACATGCAACATTTGTATATGTGACTGGAACATGCTTTTTATAGTACAGGCTGCCCTCTTAAACTGGCAAGATTGTGATGGGACTACACAACTGGTTACAGTAATAGGGGGTAGCTTACATCCTAATGTCTCTGTAGACCCAGCATTTCTGTTAAGCTGCTTGCTCTGCTATGTCGAAATGTCATCCCGCTCACCTAGCCGAAGACATTCCACAGATGCCTGAGCCCAGTTTTTGCTAAATGAAGATTCCACAAGATAGCAATGGCCGCGGAAGGGTATCCAGGCTTTTGATGAAGAATCTGGGCATTTTCCGGGCTTTTGAGGTGGTTCGGTGGGAGCCATAACTGGAAACAATATTTAGAGGTTAGCGGTTTCACAAGAGTCAAACAATTGTTATGCAACTTCATATAACACACAACTAGAAAAGAAATCAAAGTAATATTGTTTTATGAGAAATATTTTAATAATAATATTACTTATAACAGTAATCATTCAGCGATAGAGCACCTTTCAAAATTGTAACCCTGATCTGACATTCATTTGCAGTGTACAGTGCTTGTTCTGAGTCAATGATGTATTGAAGCCAGACACCATCAAGCCACAATGGTTCACAGGTGGCCAGCAATGAACCCACCGTGTAGGTGTACCTTAGACAGTTGGCAACCGCAATCTGCAGACTAACATTCCGCAGACTAACATTCCGCAATGGCCTGTACTGAGAGAACATGAATCTAAATTGGGACTAGAAGCCCGCAGCAGTGTGTGGTTCAACTTCCAAAACCTTGTTCTCACTGCACGGTCTCACAATAACGATTGGGAACCCATAGGCTACAGCTTGGCATGCTACAGCTGTTACAATGAAATTCAGACAGTTAAAACATGAATAAATAAAATGAATAAAGCAATTATTAAAAGTGAACAGCATTTAAAAACATTTTTTTTCCATTTGTCAAAAATATCATAAATGGAGATGTTTTTAAAACAGTGCATAAAAACCACATATGTCCAATGTAAAAATGATTTAAAGAGGCAAACTAGTTATAGCATTATTGCCAAGTTGCCTGATGCTGCTAAATTTGGTCTAGGCACCTAGTCTTCATTGACAGCTGGACAAGAAAGGTGTATGTATCCTTTTGCCTTCACGCAGCACTGTTTGTTTGCACATGGGCAGCACTGTCCAACCTCTACAGGAAAAATAAGCAGGCAGGTGAGCAAACACATTGCTACAACCATATACCACTTACCACTTGTCTGCTTGCAAATTGAAGCATAGTTTTCATCACAGGATGCTGTCTTCCACTGGCCGTCAATATCTATGTAAACACAAGCACTCTTTTTTTTCGGTTCTCCGGAAGCCCACTTTGTGTAACGGAGTTTCCAGCCGTCAATCCATTTGAACTGATTGTCCGTCTGAAACAATTGGAGAGTAAAAATGTTACTGTAGAACTGTACCAATCATTGGTTATAGAAAGTTATTTTTCTTAAAATATTTGTTTTTCTCTAAGGGTTTTGTTCAAGTAAGACCCCATACCACAATAGTACAAATATAAAATGTCAGTAGGTAACTTAGAAAGCTTTAAAATAGTGAGAACAGATATACGTGGCCAAGCATACATCAGAAAAGTAACATGGCTACAACCCAAAAAAGGACAAGAAAGAATTGTAAGATGTACAAAAAGTACAAGAAAAGCAAGAAAGGGAGAAAGAAATAGGCGCAGAGACTGAATTCTATATAAAGGTGTTCATTACCCATTAGCAGGTGGTTGGATCTGAAGACAGCTCCATAAACCTGGAAGTTTATGTCAATGCAGAGGGAAGAGGGGTGAAAGAGAGCAAAGGCAAACCCGTGCCTCCATCACCTTCTATCTGGTTGAGTACAACAGCACTGTGAATAGGTATCCTATCCCAGCCAATAGATGCTCGTTTGTGAGGTGTAGGTTGAAGCGCATCTGCTAGCCACCATAGACACTACATGGTCTCCCAATCAGGCTGGAAACAGGAAGCAAATGTAATCTGAGGTCCATGGTTTGCTTCGCACTGGGTAGTTATGTAAGACATTGGTAGTACAGATGAATTTTCTCTGATATATTACATTTAAGGTTCTCAAGTGACTAAGTTTTGATGCGTGTGTTATTTGGCTTTTTAGCCATTGTAGCTTGGCGAACAGAACTTTTTGTAAGTAAAAGCCACATGTAATTATTAAACCCCTTCTACAGGTATATATCATTCGTACCACATATACACGGCTGATATCATTAAGTGAGGGTCTTGGTGAGTTTTAAATGAATATTACTCATTGAAGTAATTATGCTTCTTCCTCCATTACTGTCTTTCAACATTTTCTTTTATATATGCACAACCTTTTGTACTGACCTTATTACTATTAAGTCCAATCCAAAAAGGTTCCTTAAATTTATTTAGTTGCACTTTTATAAAGGAAGCCGTGTACTCTTCTAAAATGCTGGTAAGCTCAGAGTCAGTGTTTTTACACATTCGCCGGGCCTCATCCCACTTCATCTTCCTTTTCTCAAACTTGTAGGTGGCATCACCAAACTCATATTGATTAGAGGCTGGAGGAACCGTTGTTTTTAACTCCAGTGCGGGGTCTGAAGAGAAAGAGGAGATTACAACAATCAAATGAATAGAAATTAGAAAATAAAACCGATCAAGGACTGGCACCTAAGTAAGCAATTCAACCTTGGAGAAAGAAGGGACATCAAAACACATTTGTGTGGTTGATATTTATTGCCCTTTGCCTGGACACTACTGACTACATTGACTTGTAGAACTGGTTGAGAGAGTGGTTTTAAGACTACAGAACAGACGCTCAAGACTCATGCTCAAGATCCCAACCAGGCTCAAGATGTAGTTCAGGCTCAAGATCCCAACACAAAGGGGGCTATTCACAAAGGAGCCGACGGATCCAGCCGTAGCTTCGGCTGATCCTTTGGCTCTCTTCGGCCCCCGGAGCCCTTTTGTTCAGTCAAATTTTTTTTTCTTTCTTTTTAAAAAAATCTTTCTTTTTTATGTAACTATTTATTTACATTTTTAAAATCTTTTTTTCAACTTTTTTAATTGATTTGCTATTCTGCTCGGTACCACAGAGGTACCAAGTAGAATAGCCGAGCCGAATGTTGCTCGGCGGCATTTGGCTATTCACTCACTGCCATTCTGCGGCATTCGGCTATTCAATCACTGCCATGCGGCCCCTATGAGCCTATGAAATCAGGCCTATGAAATCAGCCGTACAAGCCAGAAGTAAATAGCCGAACGTTGTGCGGCTCACTTCACTTCGGCTGGGTTATTCACTCGGCTGCCACTCTAGCAGCTTTGTGAATAACCCCCTAAGTGCCTGCACAGCCAAAGGTGCTCAGAGGGAGATGGCTGAGACAGCAACGAGTAGGAGCCGTCGGATGGTCATGATTGAGAGCACTACCTTTGCTAATCATCGGGACTTCTCGGAGAAAATTAATGCTTAATCGAGTGCCTGCCTAGATAGTATCATGGCAACTGAAAAAACATATACATTTAGCATCTTTTCAGATCATCAAATGGGTTGTCCATTCTGCTATCAATATTTTTTTTGCCAGTCTGTCTCCAATAATCCTGTTTTAAAGTAAACTTGTTATGAGAGGGCCTTTATTGACCCTCTGGCATTAATACTTTTTAGGTTTAATCAGTCAAATACATTCCAGGTGCATAACATTCTTTTTTTTAAAGTTTTCATTAGAAAGCAGCCACAGCCAGAGTAGAAAAGAGAGCAGTGGTCTCTCTGTAGAGGTCTGACATGCCTTCTGCTGAGTCAGAGTTGGATCTCTTCAGTCATCAGCTTTGCTGAATCATTCTTAATTAAAAGCTTTGCTGATTGAAGAGAGATTGAGGAATTAGACTAAAGAGAATGTGCAGACCTAGCCAGGAACATTTTGACAAATGGCCCTCAATATTTTGAAGGATGAGGGCAAGTAATTAAAAGACTGGGAGAGGGGACTGGGGTCATAGGGGCCTACCAGATAAATGTAATTGTGTCAAAGGTGCAGTTACACTCCAAAGCGTTGAAGCAATAGGGACAGCATGACAGACAAGCAGCAGTTTCAACAAAGCAACAGACTCTTACAGAAGGGCGAAATCTTTCACATGAGCATAGGGCAGCACAAACTCCAAATATAGGACTTTATTCCAGCAGAATGGAAGCACAGAAGTGAGCGTAATCTGCACCCCATTTTCTCTTTACCCCTAAAATAGACCCTGCCTGCTCATGCTGCAGATGCTAAATGCCCCTCTAGAAAATGTATAAGTGATTATTCTGGCTTTAAAAAACAAAGGTATGTCATCATTTTTATTTTTGTTTGCCATTGGTCAGTCCTACCTTTAGATTTTTGGCATATATATCCTTTATCCAAGTCACAGTCCTCTTCAATCCAGGCCCCAGCATCCAACAATAAACCCGCTTTTAAAGCCACACAGTCAGTCTACAAGGAAAGAGTATTCTCAATGCTCAATGTGAAATAAAAGCACTTAAAGCTAGAGCTGTTTTAGCTTTATCAAACGCACTGCAAGGGTTAAGTGCTCATTTTGTCTAAGAAACTTAACTAACAAACTTATACTCACCTGAACCACCATCCTGGCTTGTTCTAAGTTTCAAGCTCACTACCGGGATGGACTACAATTTCAGTACAAATTAGTAAACTAAACACAAGGTTGTAGTCCATCATGGGAGCAAGCTTGGAGCGGTGACTACTTTACAACACACACAGGGAGCATGGAGAACAGAAGAAACCACACTCCAGAAGGACAGTGTCAGGACCAATTCAGAGATGATTTAAGGATTTACAGCCGAGTGATGCACAAATGAGAAACATTTTTGTTAATAGTTAGGGGACTTGAATGTATTTTAAAAATGCAACTTCTGAGTTTAGTGTCACTTTAAGCCAACATGTGCACCTTGTTACTGCGTTTATTGGAATGGAGAGGAGAAGAGATAACTTATTTGTTCTATTAGTAATTTACAATAGCACTCTACAGTAAAGATTACAAGATTACATTACTAATACCATAAGTCTCTTGGACATGCACTTTATTTTATAGCATCAGTGAATAATCCTAGGAATGTACAGATGAGGATAAAGAATGGGCGTATGAGGTGAATGGGTCAGCCTGAAATCTGTTTTATAAGGAGCAAGGATATAGTAGTGGTTGAATCTACTATGAAAAGAAAAGAAACTCTGGAGACTTGAGGAACTGCCTTATAGCTGTCCTCTGTGTCCCCTGATAGAATATGGAAGTGACATGAGGAGCTGTTTAAAAACTGTCCTCCATGTCTTCGTGTATTAAATTGACTTTTTTCCTCTGACACAATGTGGATGTAATTGAGAGGAAGGAGCTAGATATGAAGGAGAATAATTATACATCTAGTTTAGAAAACATCCTGGGCCAGATTTACTCTCTTTGCTGCCCCAAGGCCAGGTTCCTCAATGCGCCCCCCCTGTATGCAGGCTGAATACAAGTGTTCTCTGCAACATTGCCAAGATCACTTGTACAAAATAAGTGGTGGCTTCCCCGCTGTACATTTAGCCCTGCTTGCCCAAAGCAGTGCTAAATGTAGAAAACAACTACCCGCCCGGCGCCTGGAACAGCATGTTCCAGTTGTTGGGAGATAGGAATTCCACACCCCTTCAGCCCCTCTCCTCCCTGCTGCCCCAAGGCCTCGGCTGGCCTTGTGGCAAATCCGGCCCTGGGTACACTGAGACAGAGTGACCCATGGTTTGTAAGTGAGATTTTCTGATATACGAATAGTAAACTCATAGACTGGCTAATAGAGACATTATTGAAGTGACAATAAACTCAGGAGTTAGATCTTAAAAATACATTCAAGCACCTGAACTATTAATAAAAATGTATCTTATTTGTGTATCACTCGGCTGTAGATCCTCAAATCATCTCTGAATTGGTGCTGACACTGTCCTTCCTTCTGGAGGGGGGCTACTTTTGTTCCCCATGGTCCCTGTGTGTGTTGTAAAGTAGTCACCGCTTCAATCTCCCTCCTGTTATGGACTACAATCTCAATACAAGTTAGTAAACTAAACGTGAGATTGTAGTCCATCACAGAAGTGAACTTGGAGTGGTGACTACTTTACGTCCAATCACTATGAATGGGCAGTAGCACCCTTTTACATGTCTACATTTCTCTTATATTTTTGATACTGTTATGAAGAATTAAGAGCTATGAAACAAAATGCGTTATCAGTATGATGCTTGACAGTTCATCAAATGTTATATCTCACAGAACCTCTAAGTTCTGACTGTTAGCTTCACAGTCATCTTCAGACAAAATTACTGATGTCAAGTAATGATAAATCCACCTTGCAGAATGAAATCTGCACAACTGTAATCTTTAAAGACTGAATTACCCAACCCCTATGCCCCTTTCACACTGCTGGCTAGATTGGGTTCACCTGTCAGTTTTTCAAGCGGATCCGATCAAATGCCCATTGAAAGTCTATGGGCGTCCGTTTACACCCGGTTACCCCCACCTCTGGCAAGGCCCAGAAAAACAAACAGAAACAGTATTCCCTATTGCCAGACTGGAGCGTGCCAGATGTAATCTGATGTAAACAGACACATGTCCGTTTACACCAGATTCCCCATAGACTGACATGGGGTTCAGTAATTGACGTTTTTTTCATCCATTACAAGATGAAGGGGAAAACTGTCCGGACACGGATCTCACAGCGGAGACATCCGCTACGTACTGATGTGATCAGTGGAGGATCCATGTACAGATCCTCTCCTGATCAGCACACATGAAAAGGGCCTATATATGCCCAATTGTGTCTGTTTCTTTTTAAAGTGAACCTGAATAGCTAAAACACAGGTTTGCTTTATTGAACAACTGTAAATAAGAGGCTAAATATACATCTGAAATACATGTATCACATCTTAGCTATTTTTCCTGTCAAAGCATCTGTAATTCTTATAATTAGTCTTATAATTCACTCACCTCTGCCAAATCACATAGCCAGGCAGGTGACACCAGCATTCCAATTTTAAATTTGCAGATTCCTGTGTCATCTGCCAGTTCAATTCAAAATGTATGGAGCACTTATGGTGCATTAAGTATTCATCCCTGCTATCTTTCTATAGAAAGCTCTCAAGCTAATCCAAACAGGCCTGGTTTATCCACCAAGTGCTACAACTCACATCATCATCATGAACGTAAATATGGCTCCCAGATGGATGGCCTTTGGCCCAGTTGGTATAATGCACTCCACTCTGGTCTGTCCATAGAAATTTGTGCTCTGCATTGACATCGTTCATTCCAATCCAGACATCAGTCTTAACAGTTTTTAAGTTGTAAGTCAGGAAAGCTGGAATCAAAAACAGATAAAAATAAAAGTTAGAAGAAAGCTAGATGTGTAGATTTCATCTCATCATCCCTGTGTTACCACAACCCATTACATGACTGATGGATTCGTCAATTACGTCCCTCTGTTTAAAACCCCAATGAATGCACAAACTGCGTGACATGGATTTAAATGGCCACAGCAGCCTTTTATTAAACATACCAAAATTGAACAGGTACCAAACATTATAACCAAAATAGCACACAAACAATAATCTGATTGACTGTTGGATCCGAGAAGGGGTCTGTGGGTGCCCATCAGCCAAAATATGTTGCAGCTGGGAGTGGCAAAGACAGTTGCTGCTGGGAGTGGCATCACAGAAGATGATCAGGTATGCATAATAAACCGGATGTGGGCACAGTTGGGCCGTTTCTATAACCTTGAAACAAATATGGACAAGCAGTCGGCAGCTGAATGCATTTCCGTCTTACCTTGTTCCAATTCATCAGATATGCTAGCCAAATTTCCTCCCGCCTGCTGACATGCTGACCTTGCAGAGTGCCACTCCACCACTTCATCATTTTCCTGGCCGTATATTCTAAAACACTTAAATAGACAATGTGCCTGTTAGTCTGCTGAAGTGTACCTGCTACAAGTATTAGATAATATGTCTAATCTAATCATTATCTATGTAATATGTGTGATGATAGAGTTCAATAAATAAATACCTTTATCACGTGGTTTCATCATTTTTTATTTTCCCTATGGGGCCCCATTTTCACACCACTGCAATAAGATAGAATTAACTGTTTCATGCAGATTACCTTTTTCCCAAAAGCCATCCATTCTGATGGGCACCCGCCCTTGGGTGGTTGGGCTGTCGGCACAAGTGTTGTATTGATGTTGCTGGTTTTCCTTTCACAAATGAATGGGTTTGGATAACCACAGTTTATGTCATTCCAGTAGCCTACCATGAAAAAAATGAAAAGAAATCAATTAAACCTAAACAATAAATTGAAATTCCATCTTAAAGAGAACCAGTCACGAACGGGCTCATGCAAGAATCTGAATACTCAGTCTTACAGTGTATGTAATCCCTAACAATAAACTTCTCTTTTTTTTTTTTGCCCCCATTGTATATACACAAACAACTAGTTGGTTGGTGTAACCATTGGTGTAAGCTCTAGCATGGATGGCATGCTACTAGAAATGGTGTAAGCTACTACAATGTAAGCTTAAGCCAATGGTACTATACTGTTCTGTGAGCAATGGTGTAGCTTACACCATTGTGAGTCTTTTGTTCCATTTTTTAATGATGATTATTCTTCAGTAAATCAGAGTGCTTTTAGAAAAAGGAATGAGCTACTACAATCATCCATAGCTTAGACCTCATACAGCTTCTCATCTGAAAACAATACCATCACAGTTATCATCAGAACAAGCAAGATATACTGTACCTAGGGTTTTATATATCACTACACAGTTCTCGTCATTGTTGGCAAAGTTGGGTTCATAGCTTGCCCAAGCCACATAATCTATAGGAGATCCATCCATCCATCTAAGGAACACAAAACATACATGTCAGATTCCAAATTTAACTGTTGCACATAGGTGTTTGGGATCAATGTTATTTAAGTATGTAAAATTAAAACACCCCAAAAAAAAAGTGATAACACACTGAACTAAAATTACCGTATGTCTTTAGAGAGAGGACACATTTCCAGGATACTTGTTACATAGTAAGTGGAAATAAGTTATTTGTTTCTGGTGGGAACTTCCTGTCTGTTACACCCCTGTGATAGGTGTCCTCAATTTCATTGCAGCTAATCCTCATTAAAGCACCCAAATTTCACCCACCCCTCTCTCACTGTGGATTTTATTCATCATATGAATGTGCAACATCTACAGTACAGATTGGTTTAAAGGGAGTATTGAAAGATTACATATAGCAAGACCAGCACATTTATTCACAATGGGGTCTTTTTATAAACAAATCACAGGACCCTTCTGCCTGCAAATATCTGTGAAAGTTCATTTTAAGTGGCTAATGCCAAAAACAATTGTTCTTAATATACTTTTTCCCCAGTTTGAATGCAGTGTGTATCTTGGCCGCTAGAAAGAGCGGAGGAGCATGAGAAATACTTATATAATAAGTAAGTGGCCATGATGTATTATTACAACATACTACATTTGAACTGCAAAAAAATAGATATCAAGAGCATCTGTTTTTAGCATTATTCACCCAAATGAATGTTGACAGATATTTGTGGGATGAAGGGCCCTACAAATTGTTTATACATAGACCCCAATGTGTTTGACAGTGCACAAGTGAAGTCCTAGGATTTTCCAGAGAGCTCCATGAGAATTGGATCTATCAGTTGAAATAGTACAATGTGCTAGGGCAGTAGTCCTTCAGCAAAACCCACACAGACACATCTCTCATTAGCTGGACATGTGATATGCTGGGGATGGAACAGCCGAGGAGTAATCAAATGATGGTTCTCTAGAAAAGAGCAGGTAGCACCACCGGAACAGAGCAATGATGCTAATCAAGCCTGCTGTGAATGGGCAGCCAAACAAAAGGTATAGATTAAGAGTTTTAGATTAAACTGGGTTCCCCTGGAAGATATGTGCCCTGGGCAGCTGCATATACCACCTTAACAATAGTAAGCTACTGCACTTATATATGTTAAACCTGGCCATAGTCAAGCAGACGTCTCACTAAGAATGATGCTGGGGGAGTGAATGACTAGCGATAGATTCTTGAATTTTTTTATTATTATCATCTAATGGTGTAAATATATGATGCCTGGACACTGGGTCTGCAGCTTCTGCACACCAAAGGGGTTCCATGTCACCAGGGGCTGTGACTGAAATAAGGGAATCCAGAACTGAAGCGCCATGCCATGCTATAAAAGTCTAAATACAAGTTAATTCCAATGAGAAAATCAGCTCAACCATCAAAATGGCTTTAGGTTACTGAAGCAGCACATGTACAGCTACCATTGGATATCAGAAGCAACCAACTGGATACCTTACCATTGGATATCAAACAACTAATAGAAAGGAACCTTGTGTGGCACAGAAGAACATAGACCTGATAAGATTCTAAGCACCTACTTAAATTGTTTATCTAGTTGTAAACGTAAACCAATGAAGTATGCTTCACTCTTCCCATTCTTTAGGATCTAAAAAGGAAAAAGAACCACGGAGAAGAGAGTTATAGATTAAGATGTAATCTAATATTGCATGACTATAGAAGTACAGCGTCTGGTCATAAGATACCCAATGTAATAATTACTGAACATGGAAGGACACGCAGAAAAATAAATTAATCATACAATGATCCAATAGCAAGTCAGAGATCTAGAAGGGGTTCCAAAATCCAAACAAGTAGAAGGACCAAATGTTTTATTTAAAAGCAATGCAGTGGTTTTGCATATCATCTATTATGGTCAGGAATGAAACAGGTGGCGTGTAGCTTTTGGATGCAGGTCTATAGGCTACTCTCAACCTTATTGGGATCCAGTGTGATGGGAGAACCTCATAGGGGCACTTCTCAATTGTTCCACTGCAGGTCTCATGAGAAATCAAACCAAACTCCTGTTACATGTCCTCACTGCAGCTAAATAAACAATAGCAAAAGCGTGGTTGTCGGACACTCTTTCATTGGCCGAAGTGAAAGCCAGATTACATAGTACATTTATTAATGAGAAACATTTGGTACTTATTAAGGGTGGTATGTTAATTTTCCAGACACCATCCTTCGACTGATGGCTTCTAGACCTTTAACTGATGCAGACTTTGAGTGTTTTTTTAACATGACTACTGCATTTGCGACTCTTTCCTTTCCTTTCCTTTCCCTTCCCTACCCCTTCCCCTCTCTTCCACGTTCCTGCTTCATTTCCTCCTTCTTTCTACTATCTCTCCATTTTTAGCCACTCTTATCCATTTCTCTTGTCTTTCTATGCTGTCTTTTCTAAGGTTCTCTTTTTGGTATGACTTCTCATTTCACATAGTCCGAGATTTGAACATAGGAAAAAAATGTTTGAGGTAATTTATCAAGACCCCTAAATCTCCCACTCTTAGGCTAAGATCACACCTGCACTACACCGCATAACACCCAGGACGCATGTCCGGGGATCATGCAGTCCGGCACAATGCAGGCAGTGATTGCCGTGCGGCCCCATTGATTTCAATGGAGTAACATTCGCACGGCAATCGCAGAAAAAAGGTACAAGTACCTTCTTTTTGTGATACACTGTGCGCAGCTGTTTTAGCCGGAATCGCGGTGGGAAACCCACCCCAATCCGCCCGGCGCGACTGGGGTGCCATTAGAAAATAATGACATCCACAGCGCAATTGGCGACTCCTGACCGCGTGGCAATCCGCATGGAATTGTGCACGATTGCCGTGTGAACCTAGCCTTAGCCCTAAGATGTAGTTGTGTGCTTGTGTGTGCTTGTTCCAAGTCAAATACTCAGAGAGTGCTGAAGCAAATTGATCATAAAGACAACAAGGCAACACGTATTATCAGGAGGAGGACATCATTTGCCCCATATATACCATACTAATCATTAAAACAAGCTGCTCTGTTTTGGTATATATATATATATGTATACACTGCCTGTCCAAAAAAAAAAAATCACACACTGCAATACTCCAATATTACGTTGGACCGCCTTTGGCTTTGATTAGGGCACGCATTCGCAGTGGCATCACTTCTATCAGCTTATGCAATGTCACAACATTAGCATCTTGTAGTGATGATGGGAGAGTCGGACCACTGTGTAAAGTCTTCTCCAGCACTTTCCAAAGATTCTCAATGGGGTTAAGGTCAGGACTCTGTGGTGGCCAATCCATGTGTGACAATGATGTCTCATGTTCCCTGAACTATTCTTTCGCAATCTGAACCCAAAGAATCCTGGCATTGTCATCTTGGAATGTGCCCAATGTGCCATCAGGAATGAAAAAATCCATTGATGGAAAAACCTGACCATTAAGTATATTCAGGTAGGCAGTTGACCTCCTTTTTGGGGCACATAACATTGCTGAACCTAGACCTGACCAACTGAAGCAACCCAAGATCATAACTAAATCCAGGTGGTGACTTTTTGTACATGTCAACATTTCTAAATGACGTTTTTATTATATTTGAATACTATAATTCTATTAGACATTTTCAGTATTAAACAGAGACACTCTGCCAGTGGCCACTGCAAGTCAAAACCATTGTTTTCTGAATGAAGGCTTCTGCTTAATTGTAATCAGTATGTCATAGCTGCCGTAGTGATCACATGATCAGGATTCACTGTGATTGGTTCCTGATCATTAGTTGGGGACCGAAGATGTCCGACAATGGGCTTGCTCCTAGCTGTCAGAAGGATAACCTTTATAAATATATCCTCAGCAATGTGCTGGGAGACATTTATAAATTGCAGGTGGGAAGGGATCAAAGGGGGATTATTTAGTTCAAATGTTCAATACAGAAGAAACAGACATTCGGAACTTACATATTTCCACAGATATTTCCGTTCTTCTTCTCCATTGATGGTGACCAGGTCGCCAAAATTACTCTTACAGAACCCTCGTGCCTTCTCCATGGTCATTTCATCCTTACTTACATAATATTGCCTGTCACCTAGGACCAGCCAGCCATCACTGCTCAATTGATATGCTGTCAGAGAGGAAGGAAATCTATTCAGGATAACAGTTTTATAACGAAACCTTCATGGGAGCAAAAACGCATCTCTCCACAATTATTTGGCTTGAAATCTGAATGATAAGAAGTAACTTCAGCTTTTTGAGAAATGTCCTAATTTAAAGAAGAACTTCAGTCAGTCAAAAAAATTAACACTTGTAGTGGAGCTACCCCCACACTGCAAGGGGTAACTAACTGCTTGTTTTGGTCCAGGGTCTAAAATAAAAAACATATGCTCACCCGATCCTGGGTCCCGTCTGGCTGCTAGACTCTTCTCACCTGGGCTCCGGAGGTGTAAGGATCCGTGACATTAGCACATCTATACAGTCTATTAGACATGAGGATGCCAATGGACATTTCACAGCCGGAGTGGAGGGGGAGGGAGGTGAGCGGTCATCACTGCAGGACCAAGGGTCAGGTGAGTATTTCTTTTTTATTTTAGCCCCTAGACCAAAGCAGGCAGTTAACCCTTGCAGTGTGGGGGCAGCTGTCTGGAGTTCTTTAAACAAAAGGCAACAGTCAACCCTGGAAATCGTATTCATGGCTCATTGTGCCCTCTTAGGTCTATAAGGTTTCTTAAAGTATCCGTTGACCCCATTGTGAGATATTAACCAGCTGCTGGTTGACATGATGTCTGTTTTCATTGGCTTTGCGATATCTACAACTGGCAATGCGTGCATCTCTACTTTAAACAGGTACGGCGAATCATTCTTACCTGCAGCTGGTGGGTTTGTAGGTTCTGGTTTCAGTACTGCACCTGATGGAGATATAAAGCAGGTATGTTAAGTGTAGCTTATTCCGGAACTCTTCCAGCCGCCATGTTAATGTACTGGTAGGCGGTTGGAGGAGTATTTAAAAGGCGGATCAACCACCTATTTTTACTGCCCCCTTTGCTGCCCAAGTGAACTCAGCCTGATATATTAAACCTTAGATGAGATTTTAGAGATTGCATTTACTTTTAAAGTGACTTTAAACACTTTCTTTTTATTTTTGTCAGGGTTTCTTACCCTTCCTCCTGTAGCATGCCTTGTTTGCAGTATGTCTGACATTGTTTGTTCCTCGTTGGCGCCCTCTTATGACCAAACCCCAAAACATCATCATTCTGCAACTGCTGGCAAATTCCTGTCTCAGAGTTATGATGCAAACACCAATTCACTATTTAACCATCAGCTTGTCCATTCAGTCTCTGCCCTTGCATGTGTTCTGATCTAACAAGTGCTCTGCTGGTGTTCCTGTTCTCCGTGTATGACCCTGGCTCTAGCTGACTGATCTCCTGGTTCCTGACTCCGGCTATTGTTTCTGTTCATTCTGTTCCCAGTGTTCCCTGACCTTGTTCGACTGACTACCTGCTTTGGCATCTGACCTCTGGCTTGGCATGGACAATGTTCTGGACTACCTCCATTGTTTTTTTTTGCTATTTTTGTTTATAATTTTTCTCAGAATTTCTGAGTTACAATTCACTGACACATCCTAAAGCTGACCATACACTATACCATCTGATAGTACCATTTTCTTTAGATCTACCATCAACTATGCAGTGCAATGGTCTGCCAAACAGGATTCAATTTGAATGAATTGTTTAGGTTTGTCCTCATATCACATCACAACAGTTTTTGTTGAATCTAAAAAAGGTTAAACAGAGATTGTACAATCGGATTTGGCCAGCTAAAAAGAGTTAAATGTTGAGCTTAAAATATAATACGGTTAACACGTGATTTGCAAATGGGGTCTACTTATGAACAATCTGCATAGCCATTCACCCTATGAATCTCTGTGAACATTCGTTTTGTGTCAATAGAGAAAAAAAAGGAATGTGTATTTTCTTTTTGGGTCGAATGTAATGTGATACCACTTTATGGCCACTAGATGGAGCTGAGGATCATAGGAAATTAGTATGTATTTCCTATGCTCATTAGCTCCTTTGCCCAATCTAGTGGCCATAATGCGGCTTTTAAAAATTATATTCAGCCTTCTTCTCCCTCCTTTAAGGATGTTCTATTTCCTTTTCTTTTTCCTCCCTTCTTTCCCTCCTCTCTTTCCACCTTCTGCTTTTCTCCCTTTCTTGCTCTTTTTCTCCCCTTTCCATCCCCTTACTTCTGTTCTCGTCATTCCCCGTTTTGTGCTTTTATTTTATATTTGTTGATCCAGTAACCGCAAACTACCATCTAATATTCTGGATCATTGTTATACTTATCTGCCATGGTTCGTTACCATAATATATTATTTTTCTGATTTTCTGATACCCGGATATACTCGTTTTTGATTATTTTTCATGTGCATGCATATTCATATATGTCTTCATGTCACCTCACTGGATCACTGACAGTTGCTTACTATGTTCTTATCCGATTCCATTTATAAGTATCTATGCGTTTTTGTATTTGTGTCTTGATTCTCAATAAAAACTATTACACAGAAAAAAGAAAACAAAAAACATTCAACCTTAAAAGAACATATACCGTATTTGCCGGCGTATAAGGCGACTGGGCGCATAAGACGACCACCTAATTGTTCTGTTAAAACATAGGTTTTGGGCTATACTCGTCATATAAGACGAGTATAGCCCAAAATAATGTTTAAACACACCCACTAAGCTCCATGGAGGTATTCTCGAGTGTGGCTTGGTGTTAATTTTCAGTACCATAAGCGGTAACCCCGAGCCACCCTCGTGATTACAGTCTCTTACCTTGTCCACGATCCCCGTTGTGTCCTCCGTCTTCCGGGTTCCGTCCCTTGCGAGCGTCCGCGTCGCAGGGGGGCGGAACCAGCGGGAATTTTAAAAGTTAAAAAAAAAAATGTAACAAAAAAGGAAAAAAAAAAAATAATCAGACCGCCAGGGAGGCTAATCTGTCAGCCCGCTGGATGTGCGCTAATAACTTAACAACTTAAAATAATGACTTAAAAACATCCCCCGAAAATCGGGGGTCGTCTTATACGCGAGAATACAATACCGCAGGATGTGCGGTAATACTTTATGTACGGTAGCTTCGGCTACATACAGTATACCGCGCTGAGCCACTGCGACCAATGTACACAACCTCTGCCAATCCGAGCAGGCTTTGTATTTATTAATAAAATACATCGCTCGCAGTGATTGGCTCAGGGCGGTATACTGTAGGTAGCCGAAGTTACCGTACATATAGTATTACCGCACATCCAGCGGTATTGTATACCCGTCGTATAAGACGACCCCAAGATTTTCGGGGATGTTTTTAAGTCTACAAACTCCACTTATACACCGGCAAATACGGTAGTTGTACTAAGAATGTTACTTTTTGCCTCTATTCGCACAGAACAAACATTCACAGAGATTTGCAGGGGGAAAGGTTCTGCAAATTGTTTATAAAAATACCCCAACATCTAAACCCAGCATATTCTTTGTCAGTAGGCTTATAATATAACCATTTTTTGATGAGTGTTCTGCTATTTTTGTAATCAGCTGCCATAAGGATTGTCATTCGGATACACTTCAACCTGCTATTAACAAGAGCGTGGTTAGCGCAGTCACACCCGCGCATGCGAACACACACACACACACAGTTTTTTGTTTGCTCTATACTTTGATAAAGTAAGGCTCAGTCCTTCTCATTTGATCGGAATTAAAACCTGTGGCTTCGCAATCCATCTTTCAGTATTATTGTTATTAGTTTAATGCCCTTTTCAACTTTTGTTACATTGGCTGTAATTTTGGAGATAGGCATCTGCTCCTTGTGCCTTTTCATAATGAAAATCTTCTGTTTTTCTGGCATTCTTTTCCCCGGAGTGACCACGTGCTCTTCAAGAAATCAGTACAGAAGGGCAAGGATTCCCAACCTACGATTTCAAAGACCAAGCTAATAAAGTGAGTCCGACAGTTTCAACAGAATTTCAGTTTGGCCTTTTCTTTTTTTTTCTATGACAGTATTGTGATATTAGCAAAAAAAAGCGGAATGTTATGAGAATTTATGGTCTAGCCACTTATTGTAGAGAGAAGTTGACTCTGATTGGATGATATGGCATATTGCACTGTGTGCTTGTTCTTTGCTTTATACCAATGACCTCCAAGCTGACACCAACAATGGGGAACAATTTCCCCTACTGACACCAACAATGGGGCACTATTTTGCCCTACTGACACCAACAATGGGGCACAATTTCCCCTACTGACACCAACAATGGGGCACAATTTCCCCTACTGACACCGACAATGGGGCACAATTTCCCCTACTGACACCAACAATGGGGCACAATTTCCCCTACTGACTCCAACAATGGGGCACAATTCCCCTACACTGACACCAACAATGGGGCACAATTTCCCCTACTGACCCCAACAATGGGGCACTATTCCTCCCTACTGCTACCAACAATGGGGAACAATTTCCCCTACTGACACCAACAATGGGGCACTATTTTGCCCTACTGACACCAACAATGGGGCACAATTTCCCCTACTGACACCGACAATGGGGCACAATTTCCCCTACTGACACCAACAATGGGGCACTATTCCTCCCTACTGCTACCAACAATGGGGAACAATTTCCCCTACTGACACCAACAATGGGGAACAATTTCCCCTACTGACACCAACAATGGGGCACAATTTCCCTTACTGACACCAACAATGGGGCACTATTCCTCCCTACTGACACCAAGAATGGGGCACAATTTCACCTACTGACATAAACAATGGGACATTATTCCTCCCTTCTGCCACCAACAATGGGGAACAATTTCCCCTACTGACACCAACACTGACACCAACAATGGGGCACTATTCCTCCCGACTGACACCAACAATGGGGCACTATTCCGCCCTACTGACACCAACAATGGGGCACTATTTTGCCCTACTGACACCAACAATGGGGCACTATTTTGCCCTACTGACACCAACAATGGGGCACAATTTCCCCTACTGACACCAACAATGGGGCACAATTTCCCCTACTGACCCCAACAATGGGGCACAATTTCCCATACTGACTCCAACAATCGGGCACTATTCCCCTATACTGACACCAACAATGGGGCACAATTTCCCCTACTGACCCCAACAATGGGGCACTATTCCTCCCTACTGACACCAACAATGGGGCACTATTTCCCCTACTGACACCAACAATGGGGACCTATTCCGCCCTACTGACACTGACAATGGGGCACAATTCCTCCCTCTTACACAAACAATGTGGCACTGTTACCCCTCTCTAACACCAACAATGGGGAACTATTCCTCCCAAAAACAATGCAGCACAATTCCTAATCTGGTCCTGGTGCAATATTTCTTCTAATGATACCAACAATAGGACACAATTCCCCCTACTAACACAAACAATAGGGCACTATTCCTCCCTCTTACACAAGAAATGGGGCTTTAGTACCACTTTCTGACACCAACAATGGGGTACTATTCCTCCCGCTGACACCAGTGATGCAGCACTAACTGGTCCTTAAGGACAACTTAAGGACCAGTTAAGGTGGATGGGAACAAGGACAGCTCTACCGCATATAACCAGAGATCGGACAGCTGGATGCTGGATGAGGTGATTAAATGCAGTCTGAAGTCCAGCCGTCCTTCCCCCATCTCTCCTAACTGATACTATGTACCTTAGTACGGAGCTCTGCCTGGGAGAGAATGTGCAGAAGTCTGAGATTCGCAGCCCTGATCAAGTGATCGCCGTGGCAATGCTTCCCAGGCTTGAATGCAAAAATGAAAGAAATGTATTTTTTTTTAATATGATCAAATATGCATTTCTTTCATTTCTGCAAAATGTGAACTTAGCCTTTAAGCAAGAAAATATGAGATTCCGTTTTTCCAGGAGAAATCTTCCTCTTTGTACGCTGTTCCAGACTTCAGCCACTAGATGTCAGCAACTAACTAGAAATAATAAGCTTCCTATCCATACAAAAAGAAGATACATATTTAGGGTGAAGCAAGAAACGTGGTCACATTGCACTTGATCGCCATCTAAATAAATATATCAATAAATAAATACATGTCTTTTTCTTTTAGGAAGTAGTGTGCATTTATTATTGGGATTTCCCTTTAAGTGTTCTTCAAACTTTAAAAAAAAAAATTTGGAAATTTCATTTTAGTTTATTGAAGTTTATTTTTTGAAACTTTTTTTATTTTTCATTTTAGTTTATTTAACTTTATTTGTTTAATTTTTTAGCATTTTTACTTTTTATTTATTTAACTTTTTTATTTTTTTTTATTTTTAGTTTATTTAACTTTAGTTTTGAAAACTTTTTTTATTTATGTTTTTGCATTTTTGCACAGCAGCGTTAAGGTTCCCTGTCTATTTAAAACTGACTGAGGTAATGTGTTAGGCAAATTAGACGGCTGCGAGGCCCTTGTGTGCGCGAAGCCTTAGGCGACCGCTTAATTTGCATAATTTGAGAGCCGCCTCTGATAGTTAGTATTATTATTCCTCTACCCCAGGGTTAGGCAACCTCGGCACGCCAGCTGTTGGAGAACTACAAGTCCCATGATGCACTGCATGACTCTGACAATCACAGTCATGACTCCCAAAGGCAGAGGCATGATGGGATATGTACGTGCAGGACAGCTGCAGTGCCACGGTGATCTAACACTGCTCTCCCCCTAGACTTAAGGAGCATCTAACCTTGGCTTGTCTCTGTGCCAGCTATTTGTCTGCAACAGACTTCAGCTTTCAATCCAAAGAACCCCTCTACCTGTATTTGTTGTATTACTACAGATGAATGACAGGATGGAAATCATACCTGTAAATGACAGATCAGGTCAAACAAAGGAACGCTATAAGCACCTACAGACATTAGAGAACCAGATAAATGGTCAGATTGGGGATTTATTTTGGAATCGTGGGTTTTACCCAAAATCCCTTGTCCACCTTAAAGCTGAACTACAACCTCCTTTGCCTTACAGCCAAGGAAGGTGCCATCTTAGCCTCTATTTGGATTGCAGTTGATCAGCTATGACACCAGCCATTTGAGAGCTTGAAAATGTGGCTGAAACTAAGCAGCTGCAGGGGAGATTTTCCATGACTTCCTGTCCTGGAGGCACAACAGGAAATGAGAGGAAATCTCTTCAATGTGGATAGAATTCCCTTCTTAGAGAATTGTCACCGGACCTGGTGTCCCTTCACTTTCTGTCTTTGACAGCGGTCACTGGGACACATATTCGGCTGAATCTCCACAGTGGGCACCATCGGGAGCAATAAAACTTGACAAATGGTCTAAAGCTTGCCATACACATCTAGCTTGGTATGGAAAACCGCTTGATTCCCCTATCTATGCTAAACAGCTGGAGCTCGCAGGTTTTCAGAATACCCAATCTGATTGGATGCAGTCACTGTTCGGCCAACAATTTTCTACCTGGCTCCTTTGTTTTTAAAATCGAAGTTGGTCAAGTCGGGTGATGCCGACAGGGCTGCTCATCAGTGGCGTCACAAGGGGGGTGTGGGGAAGGGGTGCGGCCCGCAACCAGGTGACACCATTGGAGGGGTGACACCAAAATGTCTGACAGCCATTTTGGTGTCACCCCTTCTGAAAAGTCAGGCACTCGCTCATGGACCGAGAGCCCGACAGTTGCAAGAGAGAGGAGGGAACCAGGAGACATGCCTTATCCCGCCGGGTGAACGTCCCCTCCTCTCTCTGCCGGCATGTATCACCAAGATGGCCGTGCATGAGCAATGACGTCACGGCTAGGTGCCACCTGGTATCTGCCCCTGCTGCTCATGGTTATAATTGTGTGCAATTCCAGTGATTTGATCTGAATTCTAACAGTGTATGGCCAACCCTTCTCCACTCTAATAAAAAAATGCCTTTATATAGACTTAAACAATCCTACCTCTGCAATATGCACAATCCAGCAGGCACATCATTAATGTCTGTATCCACTTTATGGGGTTGATTTATAAACAATTTGCAGGGCTGTTCACTATGCGAATATCTGTGAACATTCGTCCAATGCGACTATATGCACAAACCATTGTTCTTTAGTTTTTTCATTATGTTTAAGTTTGAATGTTCTAATTGTAATATTGCATTATGGCCACTAGATGACACTAAAAGGGCATAGCAAGTAAGTATTTTCTATGCACCTTGGCTCCATCTAGTAACAATAATGCGATATAACAACTAGAACATTCGAAAATAAATACATTTGTAAAGGAAAAAAGCGAAAGAATATGTTTGTGCATATATTCGGCACAGGACGAATGTTCACAGATGCCTTGTGAATTGTTTGCAAATGAACCCTTACACGTACCTTGATTTAAAAAAAACACTACCAAGAAAAAGACCAACAATATTAGCAATCGACTAATAACACTGTTGATATTTTATCTTTATGATCCCTTTACAGCCTAATTTCCGGGCAGCAGAACCGCTTTGTGCACATGGCCAGGGATTTACCTTTTCGCAGTTCACAGATCCAGTCTGCAGGATGTTCGCAGTGCCTGTCGTTCCAGGACAGTCTGTAATCAGTGCTCAGCTCTCCACACAGTTCCAAGCCCTGGAAGTTGTTGGGTTCTCCATAAGCCCAGTTTTCATAAATTAGCTGAAAGGGACATACAGAAGAACATCAATAAATGGTCCTGATCATTCTGGGCCAGTGCTGACTGGCTTTTTGTTTGCTTTAAGCTCCATTCACACTGGGGTGTCTGTACAGCCGAACACACGCGGAGCCGCTCTAAACAGAGAAAACATTGCACTTTAATGTGCATCGTTCCGATTATCACGCTTGTACTATTTTTGTGGTATCGTACCGCACGGCCTCGAAAATCAGGGCTGTAGCTACCATGGGGCGAGTGAGGCGCAGCTGAGAGGGGGCGCAGCCAGGGGCGTTACCGGGTGACACCCCCTTGTGACATCATCACGCACTCGCAGCGATCTTACGGATGCCTGCAGGTGGCCAATTAGTTTCAGACGAGATGAACGGAAACTAAAAATGCTATTTTCTATTCAGCCACCAGTGCATTCTGCACATGCGCGCTGCCATCCTGGAGGCGGGCGCATGACATCCCATACCACACACGTCTGTTGGGGGGGGGCACAATTTTCTGTACTTGCCTGGGGCGCAAAACGAGCTACCTACGGCTCTGTCCAAAATAGTACAAGTGTGATAATACGGCTGATTCCGCACAGATGCTTGCGAAGCAGGGGTGTGGAATTCCTTTCACCCGATGCCGGAAACATGCAGTTCCGGGCGCCGGGTGGGATGTTATTTTTTAAATTTAGCCCTGCTTTGGGCAAGCCGAGCTAACTGTACAGCGGGGAAGCAGCTGTTTAGCATTGAGGAACCTGGCCTTGGGGCAGCAGAGAGAGTAAATCCAGCCCTGGACAGACCAGGAGATATTAAGCGGAGGGGCTACATGACTGTAGAGAGGAATGGTCCCTGGGGAAAGGGTTAAAGATCTTACCTGAATGGAGGTCGAGGGTGGTAGAGTGGACCCACATGGGTAGGAACTGCAAGAGTCTTTTGTGGAAGGTCGATGGAGGATGCAGGTTGTCCTACCTGCCCTTCCTTATTTACTGTTGCTGGCGGCTGTCATATATATGTGTTTGTCATAGCAACTTGGCAGGTTAGAGGGTCTTTTGGGGGTCTGAAAAATGTGAGACTGTCACAAAAGTGGGGGCATGGTGCGTCCCCCACTGGTATGGTGCATCCCCCATTGATGGAGGCTCAACCCCTATGGAAGGTGGAAATAGTTAATGCTGGGGACATGGGGTGGGGTTTAGCAAAGCCTTATTTTGGCTTACGGACACCAAAGACCCCTTCTCGTAACAACATTACTGGTAACTGTTAAAACAAAGGGGTGCTGTGGCCGTTGAAATCCATGTCGCGCAGTCTGTGTGTTTATTGGGAACTTAATAAAAACGGCAGAATTGATGAATCCCTCAGTCATATTTATCATTAGTTTGCTCTCTGCACATGTGTAAAATGATAAAAGTCAAACATGACATCTAAGAAACATACACAGAGCTACTTACGGCTGAACCATCGGACCATTTAAAGCCTACAGTGGGATCCCTGCTAATTAGACCAATCCAGAAGATGTGGCGGTACAAGCCGGCTTGTCTGGAAGAACCGATAACAAATGTTAAACCTTCTCATCGTTTTTTTCCATATTCCAATACTAATAATAACTAATAGTGTTGCACTTTCAGTCTATCGCAATGCCTAGAATGCATGTGCAGAAATGAAAGATGGAAACTGGGCGGCACAGTGGTTTTCTGGTTAGCACTTCTGCCTTGCAGGTCTGGGGGTCCCCGGATCAAATCCTGGTCAAGATACTATCTGCATGGAGTCAACATGTTCTCCCTGTGCTTGTGTGGGTTTCCTCCGGGTACTTCGGTTTCCTTCCACACTCCAAAGACATGTTGGAAGGTTATTTGGCTCCTTTCCAAAATGGCCCTATCTGTATGCATGTGAGATAGGGACCTTAGATTGTAAGCTCCGTGAGGGCAGGGACTGATGTGACTGTAAAGTGGTATATAAATTGTTGGCGCTATATAAATACCTCTAATAGATAAATAAAATGGTAACCAGAAACACCAATCACTATTCACTTGTGAACCATTCCCTCTTTTTGAGGATGAGAAGCAGAAACCCATCTCCATCCATTTATTTTTGTCAGTTTTGGATACGGTAAGAAAGGGTTAGGACTTCTTCTCTAGGTTTAGTTGTTTTTTTTTGCTGTATGTGTCCCCCCTCAATCTTAGGCCTGTGACACCAGAAGGAGGAATGAGGAGCATGGGTGTCACTGTGACAGGAAGACACATGCAGCAAGAAAAAAACTAACAAAGGTTTAAAGCTGAACCCTGGGCTAATCATATATTGTCTAAATACAAGAGTCATGTGTCTTCTTCCTTGGATCTTGGTGAGCTTTGTGTATTCCTTCCAGATCTGTGCAGTAATCCAGTGTGAAACATTCCGTTGTGCAGGAGAGCGTTCTGTAATAAAGACCGGTTACTGCTGCTGTCTCTCCTTTTGTAGGGTGATTGGTCTTGACTCCGCCCCCTTCTGTAGTTTTCTACAGGCAGCTTGTAGTGGGTGGAGATTCTGGGCCCCTCCCACAGCTCTGCTCTCTGCACAGGTTATGTACAGCAGAGGGTTGATGTCACTGCTACTTTTATAATGAAATAACTATGTTTTTGGAATTTCATTCTGAAAATGTTAGTTGCCTGGGGGAATCAGTGCGTTAAGCCGAGGTATCAGCTGGGTGGGAGGCGGCAGCGAGCTGTCAGCCAGACTGGAGTTGGCGGACGACTGGCTGAGCTGTTAGCCGGGCGGGAGGTGGAGGGCGGTCAAGCTGTCAGTGGGGGGGTTGCTGTTAGTCGGCCATGCTGTCACCCCCTCCCAATGAGATGTCGTCTGAGGCTATTGCCTGACAACAACTCCAGGGGGCATATTTATAAAGCAGGCAATTCAACATTCACCAAACACTCACTTCTGTTGAATATTCCTGGTGCATGCGTTTTAAATGAAAGTAAGTAACTCACCACCAGCAAATGGTTGTCACATTCACTGCTTTATAATTATGTGGTGGTACATTGAAGTCAATGTCACCGCAGAGACGCCCCCCCCCCTCCCGTCCGCAGTGTGATCGGACGCGTGGCAAAACATTGCCTGCGTTCCGTTCCACTGCAAATGTAAAAAATTCTGCTAATAAATGACTACAGAAAACAAATTAGTACTCACGTCGTCATTGAGGACACTATCTGCTCTTCATCTTTACTGTTCATGCTGAGTAAATCTCCTCCTACGGCTCGACAAAAGTCCCGGGATTCAATCCATGTCTTCTTCTCGTCATTCTCTTTTGTATATAACTAGTGATGAGTGAAACACAAACATTTTATAAATGCAAATTTTACAGTGACAGTAGCTGCTGGAAGGGGGAAGCTGAGCTTCTGAGTCACTGTTGGATGGTAGGACTAAGCAGAGGGGAATAGCGATGGGCTCGATGTTCGAGTCGAACAAGAGTTTGACTTGAAGAGAGCTAGTTTGTGTGTTCGGCGAACACACAAACTATCAGGGCGTACAGCGGGCATTTCGCCTGCCGAGCGCCCCAGAAGGCACTGCGCACCGCACAGTGCCTTGTGAAGCTCTGAATGGGTAAAGCCATGCACCTGACCACAGATCAACTGACTTTGCCCAATCACGGCACAGTGCACTGAAGAGCCATGATTGGGCAAAGTAATGATGACTTTGCCCAATCATGGCTCACCTGTCAGGTGCCGTACAAATGTAAACAGTTTGGCGGAACTAGCTAGCTGTCACCGCTAGCTCCACCCAATTGTTTATATTTTGCCGGCATCTGTTAAAATGCCATTCTGCGGCGGGATTTCCTCACGAGCGGTTGGGTCGGCAGGCGTCAGGCTTTTTAAAAAAAAAATTCTATTTTTTTTTCTTGTTTTATTTTTTATTTTGTCGAGTCGTCATGGACAATGCTGGACATTGTGATTGACCCTGGATTACGTCGGTGGATCCTTTTTTTTGTTACAATAAAGGAATTGTCAAAATTCCTTTGTTGTGTTTTTATTTCAATTAAAGGATTTTCCCTAAAAGTCTGGCCTCTTTTTTTAAAATGTAATTGAACTCTTTAGTAAATGGGTCGGGGTCCAAGTACCCCTTACTCATTCACAAGGGAGGGGGTGCATATGGGTGCCCCTTTATTAAAGGGATACCCTGATGTGAATAAGCCCCCCCTGCCTGCACCCCCACAACCAACGCCCCAGGGCTTGTGGGGAAGAGGCACTTGTCTCCATCGGCACGGGGACAAGGTGCTTTTCCAGTGCCGAGGGCATGTGGCTTGGTATGGCAGGGAGGATTGGGGGTGGGGGGTTGCTCCCTCGTCCCCCGCCCTTTCCTGCCCTGTCAGGCTTGTGCTTGGATCAAGGGTCTGGTTGGGAATTTTAGGGGGGACCCCACGTCTTTTTTTTTTTCTATGTATATGACATATATACATGTCATATTTGATGCAGTAGGTTCTGTACATCGTACAGATGTGGCACTTTACAGGCAGTTTAAGGGGACTCCCCAGGCACCATATTTAAAGGAATTTTTCATTTTTAGTGTTTTACTTTAAGCAATGTTAAAATCACTGCTCCTTTAAAAACTGTATTTTTGAATAGTGTGTTTTTCATTGATTCCTGTCCCCCAGGGCAGTACCCGGATCCCCATACACTTTTTATGGCCAATAACTTGCATATAAGCCTTCAAAATGGGGACATTTGATTTTTAGAGTTCTGGTCCCATAGACTTGCATTGAGTTTAAAGTTCGAGTTCGAACTTTTTTCATGTTCTTAAGTTCGAACAGTTCAAACTCGAACTGAACACGGGTGTGTTCAGACCATCATTACTCAGGATCAAAGGACTTTATTACTTCTACTGTGAACTTTAAAAGCCCATCTCCAGGCAAACTAAAAAGTACCCTTGCAGTGGAGTTATCTCCGCACTGCAAGGGTTAAGTGCTTGTTTTTGCCTAGGGGTTGGAGTAAAGCAGATTTACTTACCTGAACCCTGCTTCCTCGGCAGTCAGTGCTCTCCTCTTCTCCCCCTCGACTCAGATTGTAGAATGCAGCATCCTCACATCTAATGAAGGTTTATGGAATCTGCATTAGAAGTGATGACGTCAGTGATCCTTAGACCATCGGAGCCCAAGGAAGAAGGGGCTATGAGGACCAGTCTAGCAGCCCTCAGTGGGCCATTGAAGCGGGGATTAGGTAAGTAAATCTGCTTTATTTTAGCCCCTAAAAAAATTAGTTCTTAGCCCTTGCAGTGCAGGGAAAGCTCCATTGCAAGGGTACTTTTTTTGTTTGGCCATGGATGAATTGCACCATAATGCCTGCAGCTACAGAGGTGAGAGCAGTTGTTTTATAGCACAGTTACCACTTGTTATGGAAATGTAAATACGTGCATGCCCAAAGCCTGGCCATAAATTCACTTTAAAATTGTTGTATCATTGCAGCACCTAAAAAAGTCCAAGATGGATTATCTAAGATTATTTTGGTGCACTGGCTAAACGGGAGATGTTGATGCTTAGACAATTGGTTTTGTCTGCAATGGATTATTTTAGGTATCTGCCATCTGATTGGCTTTAGCATTCACCAGACATGTGTGCCCCGGTAAGGTAAATTTTGTAGCAACTGTACTATTTACTTTGTAACAGGTGCTTGTATGGGGGCTTGTCCTCCATCCAGTTGGGCACTTTGGCTCCGGCGTTGTTGTTGGGATTGGCGGCGGTGTCACACCTTCTGCCCACTTCTTGCACACAAACTTAGCCTTATCGTTACATATGATGACATCCCACAAGCCGCCTTTGTTTCCGGTTCTCATCACAACGCAGCCTTGTTTTCTCCCTTCAAAGGTATATTAAAAGTGAATGTCAATACAGTTTTAATTGGGCACTTCATTGTGCCTTAAAGTTATATTAAAACAAAAAAAGATTTTAAGCTATTTTCAATATCACTTACAATGGATGCTGCTAGTTTCCTGCAGAATCAGCTGGTCTCCTGAGTGCTGGCCCTGATATCTTGTATAAGGGTGGCTCTTTTTCCTTGCAGTTTCCTATGGAGCCACCCTTGTGTGTTCTATTAAGCTGTGTGTCTCCACAAACACACAGACACAGAAGGGCCAGCCACCCACCGTCCACCTTCTGTTCCATCCACTTTCCCCCTGCTCCCCCGTCCACCTTTTCCCTGCTCCCCTATCCACCTTCCTCCTGCTCCCCCCTCGACCTTCCTCCCTTTTCCAAGCTAGTAGATGGACAGTTGCTGGAGTCTGCTCTGTCCCTTGTGATCTTGTACAGGACAGAAAGTTCAGGGAAGATAAACTGAGAGAGTGGGAGCCAACTGTTGCAGAAACTATTGACTGTAAGTGCTTGGGCAAAAAATTACTTTGCTGGGAGTTTAAAACTATTTTAAACCAACCCTGTGCTTTGCCAATAACAAAGCAAAGCTTTCTTTAATCCTACTACCCCCTCCGCCATTCCTTACATCCCCACAGTTGCACATACTCACCTTCGTTTTGATCTGACGCTAGTCTGTTCAACTGAGGGCAAAGAACCCGGTCAGCCATTTAATTTTCTTAAAAAAACAAGTATCATAGGCAACTGTCATATTTGTTTTTTTTTATTCTTTTGAAAAATATATTTTTTTTCCTTCTCAGTGCGGCTGATCTCCTCAAGCCTCCTCCAGTCACTTCCTGTCTATATGCACTCACTCCAGCATCCGATGAACATCATTGGTCTAGAATGGCTCCCTGATAGTGACAATGGCGCAACTTGCCTTTCCAATGAGCATTCTCATCGTTTCTATTCTCCGCAATGCAAGAGAGCAATTGGGAGACAGAAACAGAGCATTGTCATCCTTTAACAGGAAGTTCCATGAACAACCTTCATAGTAGAATTATCAAGTATTCATTGAAAGAGACCTTGTCACCAATCATTTTAACAAAAATATTCCTAAAAGATTATGTGTCTTTAAAGTATTTTATGCATGTCATTTACCTGTAAAAGCCTCCGTAGTGTAGATGTCCAAAAGCCCTGTGACTGGTTCTGGGTGCCGCCATCTTGGATGTGATGTCAGCAACCCTAGCAGACTCAGAGCTGTCACTCAAGTGACAGTCTACAGTATCCCCCACTTAGTGTTGTCCCTAGCCTTTTTGCTGCCTAAAGCAGGAGGAAGGGGGTATGGTGGTGGTGGTTGAGTGACGCAACCCTCCCCACCTAACTCGGCGTCCTGCCCAGCTTCTGGCAACCAGTAATGTCACTGGTTGCAAAGAAATGGGCGGGACGCTGGCCAGAGCTCCCCAGGTTGTTAAGAGTTGGGTGGGTAGATGTATGGCCCTCACACATCTCCCCATCTGGGCCTTAGCAACCTGGGATGCTCTGGCTGGAAAGGGGGCGGCAGGCACGCAGAAAACATTGTTCCCCCACATGACCCAAAGAGTTGCCTCATCAAAGGGATGGTCCTGTCCCCTGTGTTCCTTCCCCAACATCTACATAAAAACTTATGTAGGGAGGTGAGGGGAGGTCCGGAAGAGCTTGGCTAGCAGCAGAGTAATCAGACACTGCCACAATAGGCAAGGACTATGACATACAAGGGGGTAGAGGGCTGTGCTAGGGAGCCGACTAGTCAAATTTCTAGCAAATTCAAACACATGTTGCAACTGAATAACAAATAATTTATGGGAAAAACAAGCACTGCAAGTAAGCCTTTAAAATATTTGTTTTTTCCAAGCTATAACCTGATTTTTTTAAGTTGGTAACAGGGTCTCTTTAATGAAAGCTGCAAATAAAAAAAGAATAAAATTGACTTTTGAAATTACATTAATATGTTAAATATGAAATTAGATTGTGGCAATTGGGTCAGATCTTCTTCAGCTGGAGTTAAATTTATAAAATGTGCAGTCCTAGGTACAGTTAATTGATGACGTCTTTTAATATAGGCTCCACCCGTTTCTTGACCCGCCATCTTATAAAGTTTTTATTGATGCATAAAACAACAGACCTGTGTGACTTACCAGGCATTTCTGCATTCCAGTGAGTGTACAAAACCCTCTCGTTGGTGGTCCATTTAAAAGTCCCCCTTTCTTCCATGTCTGAGAGTCCTGTCCAGAAATATTTCTCCGGTCTAAGCCCGATCAGACTTGTTAGAAATGCCTGTTCAAATCTGCAATAGGCAAAAGTCAACATCATGTCATACAATTATCTACGTTCCTTTATAAAGCCCAAAGAACCTTTATGTTTTATTTGTGGGAGCCGGTCCTTTAAGAACATCAGCATAATATCAACCAAGGACAGAGTGCTGCCAACTGTATCATAGCAACCAAGGACACTTTGCAGTAAACAGTGTCATGGCAACTAAGGACAGTGTGCTGCTGACAGTGTCATAGCAACCATTGCCAGTGTCCAGGTATGTTTATTTATTAAAGTCATCCATACATTTAAAAAGAACTAAAGCCAAGCATTTTTTTTGGCTTTAGTCCTCATTTTGGTCAAAGGAACAAATTTAGTAATGTACTCCTTTGATCAAAACTCTGCATATAGTCGGCTACTGCCTTCTTTTTGCTGACAGAGCAGAGCCGCGCTGCAGCCAGGAAAGATCCCGACAGTATTGTCAGGATCCAACCCACTGCCTGACTGATAGCTGGCTCTGCCTCTCTAGTGCCAGAACTAGTTGTGCCTGACAACTCCCCTGTCTGTCCCTCCAATGAGCGCTGGAGGTACAGAGAGGGTAAGGGGAAATCCCTGCAGGGAGCAGTGACTGACAGTAACTTCTGTCTGCAGTGAGGAGACTGTGAGCTGAGCGATCAGCAGTTTGTGATCGCTCAGCCCTCAATATATAGAGCCGGGATGTGTTACCTGCAGTGTCACACAGCAGCTCTAAGTATTGGGAAGAGTACATTTTACTCTTCTCCTTTAAGACACTTGCAAACCAGACTCTTCAATCTCCAACTACTATGATAAAAACACTGAAAATAATAAAATGGGAAAAACTGCCATTAAAGTAGTCATTCAAACTTGTGCAATGTGTTGTGTCATGCACTAACAGGCAGCCCATTCATTTTCAATGGGCTACCAATTCACATTAACAAAGAAATGCATACAGACTTTTTTTTTACTGTACATTGCACTGCAATGCATGCGTGTCTGAACTGCATTGCCTTACTGCGTTGGAGTGCCATTCAAAATGAATGGTACGGCAACATGCTAATGCACATAACACATGTTAATATCCATACACATGTTGCTACAGTATCTGTGAAACCCAAGGTTGAAGCGTTTACAGATTTCTCTTATCTTCATGCTTCCTTTCTATCCATTTCCTATGGAGACTTCAATGACTCCAGAGTTTTCCCTGAGAACTCCTGATGACCGCTCATTTTTCTTATCGCCTTGTCTTTCATGAGGGCAGCTATCTCCAGGAAGCTCGGACAACACAGATGCAAGTCAGCAGTTCTGCCATAACTGATAATACTTTGTTGTAAGTCTTTACTAGCTGAGGTTTGCAGAATGTAACGAAGGCTCTAAGGTCAAGTATTTTAACACGTTCCGGAAAATGGTTCATCTCATGACATTCAGAGAGGCAAGGCCCGTAACTGTAAAAGTACTCGCTTCCCATATATATAAGGTCAGGTTTCAGAGGGTTTTACTGGAAGACATCTGTTACATTGCCACCACACTGCCATATCCACATGGCATGTGTGCCATAATGCAGCACTTGTTGGCTTTCACCAAAGGTTTTCAGCACTTCTTGAAGCCTGTTGAGGGCCTGCAAATGTTTTCTTTAAAGTTACCCTGTCACAAAAATTAAACTGTTCCAAAAGAAGAAAAATACATCTCCTGCTGCCCACGCTGCTGAACACTCCTCCATTGTGGAGGAATCACCCACCAAAGTCTGTTGGGAAACCAACACTTCCGCAGTGTCTCCTGTAACCTCTACAGCACCCAGTCCTTTCTCCTGCTGACCTCCAGATCACTATAGGACACAGCAGTGATGTATGGGTCAGCAGAAGCGGCATTTGTGACACAGTCAGAATAAGGGCAGGGGTCAGTATTAACACTATACTTTTTGCAGACAAATATTTTGAGCTTTTTATTTTTTGCAATCACTTTAAAGCTACAGTCTCCCATTAAGATTTAAGATCTGCATCAGTACTCCCAGAATGAAGCTACAAAGTTGATTTAAAAGTGTCACACAGCAGCTCTAAGTATTGGGAAGAGTACATTTTACTCTTCTCCTTTAAGACACTTGCAAACCAGACTCTTCAATCTCCAACTACTATGATAAAAACACTGAAAATAATAAAATGGGAAAAACTGCCATTAAAGTAGTCATTCAAACTTGTGCAATGTGTTGTGTCATGCACTAACGTGCAGCCCATTCGTTTTCAATGGGCTACCAATGCACATTAACAATGGGCTACCAATGCACATTTAAAAGGAATGTATAGTGTGTTGTATATACTGTATGTTTACACTATATTGCCAAAAGTATTGGGACATCCCTCAAAATAGTTGGATTCAGGTGTTCTAATAACCTCCATGGCCACAGGTGTATAAAATCACGCACCTCAGCATGCAGATGCTTCTACAAACATTTGTGAAAGAATGGGTCACTGTCAGGAGCTCAGGGAATACAAGCGTGGTACCGTAATAGGTTGCCACCTGTGCAATAAGTGCATCTGTTTAATTTCCTCCAAACTTCGTGTGGCCTTCAGATTGGCACAACAACAGTGTGTAGAGAGCTTCATGGAATGGGTTTCCATGGCCGAGCAGCTGCATCCAAGCCTTACATCACCAAATAAAATGCAAAGCATCGGATGCAGTGGTGTAAAGCACGCCGTCACTGGACTCTAGACAAGTGGAGACGTGTTCTCTGGAGTGACGAATATATATATATATATATATATATACACACAGTAAATGTATTAGAACTAAATATATTGTAGTTTTTCTTAAAGAAAGTGCCTTGATTCTTGGTGACTACTTACTGAATCTGACTCTCTCCGGACAAGAATATACAACCTATGGTTAAAAAATGTCATGTGTTCATAGTCTAACCGTCCCCTGATCCCCACTGTCTGTTGGAGGACAAGCTTGCAAAAGCACCAATCGTCTTGCTACTTTATACACGGTACCTGTCTTCAATGGTCATCAAATACGCTGCATTGCCATTACAAGTGGAGTTGGCATCTGTAAAGGTGGATGCTGTCTCTCCTATGAAGTAGCAATAATAGCCGTGCCTTTTCCATCCCTGCAAACATAAGAGTGCCATTACTAAACAGTTCAGTATTATTCTGCTCATACAATCCCGCAGAGGTCATTGAAATATTTGTACAATATGTTTAGAAAAAAAACTGAAAGTCTTGAAAATATGTATGCCACTCCAGTGAATGAATGATGTGGTTGTTCGCCCGTTAAATATGGCTTCTCGACTTTGTATTCAGGACAAATTAAAATCAGAGGACTTGGACTTAAAGGGTGTGTCAAGGCAAATTTACCCCCAAACACCCCACTTCTTTGCTAGTATATTATTTTTTTTCTTCTTTCACCTTGTAAAAGTCCTGCAGGGGTAGCTGCTGGAAGCTCATTTTCTACTGATTTAGGAACATCCCCCAGAACTACAACTCACAAGCATCCTTTGCCTATAGATGGGAATAGATGGGAAATTTTCCACTGGAGACACCAATCACAAGTGTCAAAAATGTATTTCTCCTTAAGAAGGCCACACACCTATAGACTATCTGCAGATTTTCTATGGTCAGATGGAAAAAGTGCAACAGATTCCTCCATCTACGCTAAGCTGTGTGGATGGAGGAATCTCCCACTGGGCCAAGCTTCAGTATCTTGCTAGTTGCCCCCCCCCTCCCCCCGGGCTTTTAAAATCCCTTAACAATCTGATTGGATGCAGGCATTGTTCAGGTATTTTGCCAGCCAGCGGGGGCGACTAGCAGGATACTGAAGCTTGGCCCAGCGGGAGATTGCTCCATCCACACAGTTTAGCGTAGATGGAGGAATCTGTTGCACTTTTTCCATCTGACCATAGAAAATCTGCAGATAATCTATAGGTGTATGGCCAGCTTTACTTTGGAGATATTTTCTCTCACTGCCTGCAGTGTCCCTGAACAAAAAAAAAGTGGCTTTAGATACACGTTAATGTTATGCTACTAAAATTAGTATGGATATGAGTATGTGAGTATTATCAGTATAACAAATGAATTGGGGTAGGCTGCTGCCATAAATACTTCCAGCTTGACACCGGGATGACCACAATGACTCTTGCAATTTTCAAACTAATCATGTAAAACAGTTTAAAGGCCAACACCATAAAAATAAACATTTTAAGGGGCTGTCCCTGCACTGCAAAGGTTAACGCGTTTAAACCTAAGGGATAGACATATCGATCAATTTGGGTGGGCTTAGAAGAATATTCTTGCTCTCCTATATCACTGAAAGTCATACCTTGGTTGCCGGCCCGACTACGACCAAAAATTATGAGCCCACCTCTGAAGCATATGCTCAAAATATGGGATAATATAAAATATTGTAGCGAATTTCAATCTTCTCATGCACCGCTACTCCCTATCATAGGTACGGTAATCCTTTATTTCTACCGGGGCTGGAAATGCCTACTACGTTTACTTGGTGGATAACCTATGAAGTGACATGTTTACATGGTAGATGGTATAATCTGTACATGGTCTTACTTCCAGAATAACATGCAGATACAGAATATTTTAGATATCTACAACTTAGGCACGGGGCTATATCAACTATTTCTAAAACCCCAGCTATAACGGAATTAACAGTTTTTGAAAATATTTGACTGAACTGCCCTACAACTCCTAAAATTATATCGATATTATATTCCCAGGTTATTAATGCCTAGTAACCATAAATATATACAGAAATGAGAAAAAGAGCTTGGAGTGGTCAGACAGCCAAAGGAATGTCAACACATGTGGAAATCAATAGCTACGTGTTCTATTATTGTAAACTCTTTGGAAACCGCGTTTAAAACTTTAACTAGATGGTATTTAGTGCCCTCCAGGTTGGTTCACTCCCACTCGACAAACTCAGATCTTTGTTTTCGAGGTTGTGCCGCTAAAGTGGATGTTATTTATACCTGGTGGACATTTCCGAAACTGGACAGGTTTTGGTTAAAAGTATTTCAGATGATTAGTGACCTGTTTTCGGTTAATGTAGCGAGAGATCCATGGGTGGCTTTATTACATTATAAACCCTCTTCCCTGACTAATTTACAACACAAATTAGGGATTTATGTCATGTTGGCAGCGAAACAGAACCTAGTCCAGGCATTGAAGAAACCACACATATTTTTTAGAGAAGTTAAAAAAAGGATGGATTCATTTTTTCTTAATGAAAAGTTGACTAGTATTTTGCTAGATTCCAATAAAAAGTTTGTGAAGCCTTGGGAACCCTGGATTGCGTATGCCCACCCATCACTTTCAGTAGAAAGTTTGATGCTTCTGTAGATAAGACTCTGATGCCTTTTCCTTTCCTTTCCTTTTTTTTTTTTTTTGTTTGTTTTGTTTTGTTTGTCTTGAGGTCTAGTTTGCTTTGTTCAGTTTGGTGGTTGTATTGTATTGTCTTGTTAAAAGGGGGGTTGGTGAGGAGGGTCAGCAGGGTGATACAGATCATGTCTATCCTTGCAGACTATAAATATCAATGTATGTCTTGTATATTATGTTTTATGGTACAAAACTAATAAAATCTTTGAAATGGAAACCTAAGGGATAGAAAAAAAGTTGTTTTACTTACCTGATACCTGATCCTAGCTCCCCCCGTCTCCCTCCAGGTTGCTACCCCAGTCCTGGCAGCCTCTTTTCCCCTTCACTCCAGCAGTCTAAGACCTCGTTGAGGTCATCAAGTACAATGCAGGTTCCATAGACCTGCATTGGACATTAGAACGCAGAGTGACAGTCCACAGCCGAAGCAGAGGAAAGAGAGATGACGCCAGCCACTGGGCGAGCGGGAATCAGGTAAGTAAAACAGCTTTTCCTTCTCCCCTAGACATAAACGAACAGTTGACCCTTGCAGTGTCTGGGTAGCTTCACCACAGAGGAAAACTTCAAATTTCCCTACAGTTGTGAATTTCTTGGTAGTACCTTACTGCAGCCCGGCTCAAAAATTGGCCTCTGGTCATGATCGGTTGGCAAAGGTTTTCTCTTGCAAAGATAAGGGAACTTCTTCTCACACATCTTATCTGCCCAACGACCGTCCTAAACAACAGGGAGAAAAAAATATTATTAAAAACCCAAATATATGTCTTGTTTCCCTAATGATAGAGATGTGGCGTAACAGAACACCCCTTGTTTCATAGGAGACGTAGAGCTCATTTACACAAGGTGTTTAACTCCAGAGCCAGATTCTTGCGGCAGGCATCACGGGTGGTTCTGGATTGCTGTACAAAACGACAGGCTGACAGCGAACGCCGCTGCTGTCTGCCCCATGTTCTAATGTAATGGAGCTATTACCTTTGGTTAGAGACAGATAAACATCCCTGGAAGCAAGCAACTTCATGGATGGTATTCCTTATTATTTAGAAATTACATGGAGGGGAAAGCAATAGAGCAAATTACTTTACTAATTATAAGGGAGGTCTCTGTGAATACAGGACAGCTGTCTACAGTGCATCACAATTTCATGAAAACAACTGATGTGACTGTACCATAGATCCAGTTATAGATGGAAGGAATCACCAGCACTCACAGGATGCAAATTTCTTGTGCATCTTTATTGGCTTAATTTACATATGTGACACATGTTCAATAAAAAGGAGAGACAGCCAGGAGAGAGAGAGGGGAGAGACAGCTCGGGAAGAAAGCGAGATGAGAGAGTCAGGAGAGAGAGAGGAGAGACAGACAGGGAAGAGAGCAAGGAGAGAGAGTCAGGAGAGGTAGAGGAGAGACAGACAGGAGAGAAGGAGAGGAGAGACAGGCAGGAGAGAGAGTGAGAAGAGGCAGTTAGGGGAGAGAGCAAGGAGAGACAGTCAGGAGAGAAAGGAAAGACACCCAGGAGAGAGAGGAGAGATAGCCAGGGGAGAGATCGAGGAGAGACAGTCAGGTGAAGGAGAGAGACAGCCAGGGGACAGAGCAAGGAGAGACTGCCAGGGTACAGAGTGAAGAGAGACAGCCAGGAGAGAGAGTGAAGAAAGACAGCCAGGAGAGAGAGAAAGGAGAGACAGCCAGGAGAGAGATTGAGGAGAGACAGCCAGGGGACAGAACATGGAGAGAAAGCCAGGAAAGAGAGAGAGGAGAGCCAGTCAGGGGACATAGCAAGGAGAGACAGCCAGGAGAGAGATAGAGGAGAGCCTGCCAGGGTACAGACCAAGGAGAGACAGCCAGGAGAGAGAGGAGAGACAGCCAGGGTACAGACCAAGGAGAGACAGCCAGGAGAGAGAGCGAGGAAAGACAGCCAGGAGAGAGAGCGAGGAAAGACAGCCAGGAGAGAGAGCGAGGAGAGACAGAACTCCATGTCAAAATATTTGAATTTGTATTTGTTCCCATTGAGTCCTCTTATTTACACAATTTGCCACAAAGCACAGTCCTGTCCCGTAGGGAAGGGACCAGATCTTTCTCTGCTGCAATTTCAATTTCACTTACAGGTCTCTTTCCCACTCCCACCCTCTGACTAAACAGTGAAAGGAAAAGCAGCAGAATTATAAACTCATTTCAATGGCACTCTGCTTTCTCCTCCTAGCAGAAGGCTCTTTGCACTGCAGTGCACCCCCCTTACCCAAGCCCAACTATACAGGGACGAGAGGCTACTACCAAATCAGAATTAAGTACTTACACTGCTTGCATTAAAAATACATGTTATTATGTATTAATGATTTTAAAACTGAACAGCAGATATAAAACAACACAAATTAAGCAGGTTATGTTTTTATTAAACATTATTTATAAGTAAGTAAGTATATTTGAACACAACCAGCAAAAGTGTGTGTCCTGATATCAGCCTATTGTTATATATTGAACAGTAGGATTCAGTCTGGGAAAGAGAGAGGCAACGGTAGTTGCCATTCAGGTGTGCTTCAGAACACATGCTAACTATCGAAGATGCTGACAGGGGAAGACAGCAGACTGAGTAGAGGGGTGAGCTGGGGGCAGGGAGATGTCTTAGCTGCATTGATTAACTGTAACAGAGGAAAGTCAGGTCACCAATCAAGCTTTGCTGTTGTGTAAGTCTCAAGACTGCATGGATAAAAATACAAATTATTTTTCCAGGTAAAACCTCAATATACTGTAATAGGTAATTTAACTGTGACCGGCCAGCTCACTGATGTCGCTGGTTGCCAGGAGCTGGGCTGGACGCTCTGGCTGGCATCCCAATGAGCTCCTGGCATCCAGTGATGTCGGCGAGCTGGGCGGGATGTCGACCCACCGCCTCAGGCGGCAAATAGTGTAGGGACAGCCCTGGTGATATGGCACACCTTGGTGTTTAGAGCCACGCAATCCTCTTGTTTGTTAGTGAGGTGAGAAGGCTCTCCACTCTGCCACACCGTATAAGACACCGGGGTGCCATCGCTCCACTCAAAAAACAGCTGTGTCTTCAAGTCGTTCAGCCCAAGCCAAATAAACTCTGCGGCTTCTGCAAGAGAGAATTCAAAAAGTTCAGATTCCTATAAACCTGACATGACATTAACAATGTAGTAGCTGAAATGTAACTTCTGCCAAAACTGCTTGCTCCCCATCATGTAAAGGAGTTACCTAGCAGGGCCATAGGGGGTGTGGTGGGGGGGGGCTGTGCTGCTCTGCTGCACAGTGTTTGCAATGTTCGTGCCACCCCCTTTCAGGCCAGAGTGTGCCAGGTGGCTAAGAGCCTGGCTTAGGGCCATACACATCTCCTCACTCAGTTCTTAGCCACCTGGGATGCTCTGGCTGGCACCCTTCCCAGCTGCTGGCAACCAGTGATGTCACAGGTTGCTAGGAGCTAGAGAGGACAATGAGTCGGGCAGGGAGGATTGCGTCACTCATCCACCGACACTTCCCACCACCCTTTCCCCGGCCGCCTCAGGGACAACACTGTTACCTAGGGTGCTCTGCATGTGAATATAGCCTGCCTAGCAGTGCCCACTCCTCCAGATGGACATCCGCCCATGAAGGAATTTTTATATTTGCATAACTCCTCCCAAGAACCAGCCCTCTCTATACGTCAGGGCGAAAGGCTCTTGAGAGGAGTACTAAGGCAGGAAGCTCTATACAGCACCCTGCCGACCCCTCCCACCAACCATGATCTGCCTGCATTGCAGAGAGGCCTAGTGATGACATCACTGGGTCTAAAATAAGGAATCTAATAAAAACAGAAAAGTGAAAAAATTCCATTAGCATGATGATTAGGGGGGAAAGCAGAAACCAGGGAAGTCAAAATATAAGCCGATTAACCTTTAAATTTTAAGCTCATTTTTTTAAATATATGCCTGTGTTGCTATTGGAGACTTCCCCTTCCTTCCTATCTGGTAAAACCTCTGTCACCAGGGCTAAAGCAAGTGAAAACTCCACAGGGGTTACAATCCTTCATTTATTACTTATGGGTCAGTAATTATCACTTTTCTGGTTGAACCAGAAATGACGATGGCAGAATAACAGGTGACAGTTCAGTGTTACCTACCGAAGTCGAACTGAGAAGTAACGAATCCGGAATCTCCAATATTGTACACACTGGCCAGGTCTCCTTCTTCTTTCCTACAGGACACCATGGCATCTTTCCACATCTTGGCTTCTTTATGCAGTGAATAACAATAGCCAGCATAGGGGATCCAGCTGGGTGGGCAATTGATGGGCTCAGTGTCTGTACCAAAATATAAAAAGAGTTCATTTTAATAAGTATATCGGCTCTGTACAATTTTGTTGCTCACCATTTAAACTTTTTTTCAGTTTTAAATAGTAAAAAATAATCATTATACCCTTTTTTCTGCATGTCTCCCTGTTTGGGGTTTACGTTTCACCCCATAGTGGAACCTCACCCTAACGCACAGCATTTGTCCATTTTCCCGCACGGGGTTTGTCTATTTGTTAATGCCCTTTAAAGTGATCTGTTTTTGACTACTATCTGAGTGTTCACGCCCTATCTATGACTGTATATGTCCTCAGTGTGTCTGCTCTTACCCTAGTCATCAGCCTATTACCTTTACTATTATCAATTATTGCTCTGTTTGCCTGTCTGGAACCTGGATTCTACTTGTCTGGGCCTGAGTTGGCCATCCCTTGTTTCCTTTGGCCATCAAGGGACTTACACCACTCTAGCATCTAGGTGGTGTGGGGGGGGGGGGGGGTGAGACATCCATTGTCTGCCACATACAATGCTGTGTTAATAACACCTCCTAGCTCCAATTATGCAAATGCAATTAACACCTGGTTGCAACAAAGCAGATTATGTGGATTGGAGCAACATTCACCATATTTATTCCCAGATAATTTTTGTATTTCTTTAAGTCATTCTGAATTGAGAAAGCTGGTTGGATGACCAGTGAAACGTCTCCATGAAAAATACAGTCCAGTTGCCTTGACTTATTTTTTACAGATATACCATGACCTGGATGAATGAGAACCTTCACAGACACTCTAGCATCTGCCTCCTGCCTGTTGTCTGCTGTTGTTTTATAGTATCAAATTGTAACGTATACAAAACAATTGGCCTGATTTACTACAGAAGTTGAGAATGTTCACTCAAAAAATTGATGAAAAATCTACTTCAATTATCCAGTCATGTGAAAAGCATTTGCATATACAGATATTCAGTATTCAAAGTAAACAAGAATTTGCTTTTAACATGACTGGAAAATTAAAGTGAACACCATTTTTGTAACTCCTACATTAGAGCAAAGTGTGATCAATTCAAGGCAATTCCTGGTAATTGTGCTGTCCATTCCTGCATCACCCCTCTATGGCATAGAGCCATTAGAGCAAAAATGCATTAGTGATATGGGAGAGATGTGTGATTCAGAAAATGGACATAAAGAGAGAAAGATGTGGCTAGAGAAACATGGAGAAGGAGAGAGATAAAGATAGAGAACTAGAAAGATTGTGAGTGAGATAGACATAGAGAAAGATAGCAATAGAGACATTTGGAAATAGAGAGAGATGTAGAACTAGAAAGATCTAGAGGGAGATAGAGATAGAAAAAGGTGAAGAGAGAGGTGTCTATAAAGAAAGGTGGAGATAGAGAGACAGTCGGAGATAGGGATAGACAGTCCTTCTAATTTGCTAAAAGACCTAGAGACATTAGCAATCCTTTTATTTCCTACCAGACGGGGGGATGTAGGAGGAGGTGATGTTGCCCTTTTTACAGATGTATCCTAGCTTTTGGGAACACTCTTTGTTTTCCCACTTAGCGTTTTTTCCAGGATTCAGCGCCACGCAGTTCTTCCCTGGTTCTGCTGAAGGGTTTCCTAAAGGAAGTAATGAAAATTCGTATTTAGAAACACTTAAAGGACATTTTATTAGAAAAAAACAGGTTATTCATAGGTTATAAAGCATACCAAGAACTCAGAGGAAAGCATTCCATGTAATGTCATTCAACCAAACGGGCATGGGCCTCTACTTCCAGATATGATGAGGTGGTGTGGAGGGTAATACAAATTACATTCAGACTGCATAATCTCTGTACATTTAGATTTATATAATATCAATTAGATTTACCACTACCAAGGTGATGCAATATGTGGACCTCTCTAAACTATAAATGTAATGTGTATTTAATCAAGCAGGCCCTTACACTACATCGTTGTTGGTAGATCTAAGGGAGATTGTAGAGTCAGATTGTAGTGTGTAGTGAGCTTTATCAAAGTACACATATCCATTAACGTAAATATAAGCAGATTTAAACTGGCTGGACCCTTGATTACAGGTTTCAAGCAATAGGAATATGGCTGTCAATCCTCTGTTTTGATACTAAGTTTTCAAAAAATAAAGCAATGCTGAATTTCGTTTTTGACCTCTAGAAGAAAATAAAGCCTTCCCCACACAATATACTGGGCCTGAGCCAACATGGACAACATGCTAGTCACTAAGCACAATGCACATCTGAAACAGAATCTTACCACAACTATTCACCTTGATTCAGGTAAGAGAATACACCGCAGCATTTATTATGTAGAGCTGTGGCTTGCAGTCATGAAAAGAAACATTGACTGGAGTTCTCCTTTAAAGGGTGTGCATAACCCAAGTGGGCTTGTTTATTGGGCACAAACTGCTAAATTACTTAAGCGAGAAGTGATTGGCTGATTTTAAAGAAATTTGAAAAGCTACTGATTTACCTGGAAGCCAGTTAAGGTATCGGAATGGATTTCCATTGTCCCACTTCCAACCGGCGTTAAAGTCCAGACTATTGAGACCCACCCATAAGGGTGCTGTAACAGTATTGGTTAATCCTATGAAAGAAAAGCACATAATAGATCAGGAAAGTATATAGAAGGTTGAAGAGAAACTAAACTTCATAATGATCAATTAGAAATTTGAGGGAAATGTTACAACATATAATGATGACCCCAACCCATCAAGGTTATGAAATAAATTGCAAGTTACATCTAGAGCTATTTCCTCGAGACCTGTGTCCTTCTCACATTCAAACTCTATTTTGTTTGTATACTTTTTTTGTCCTTTTATCTGTAATATATACAGTATATACTGTATTAGTATATACACTATACCTTCAATGGTATATACACTATATACAATATACAGTATCTACAAATGTTGCACTAAAAAGAGAACTAAATAGCAAGAGAAACAAAGACTGCAGAATGGTTTAGAGCAAAATCTTGATGCAGCTCTTTCAAAATCCATACCAGACCCTTATCTCAGATAGATTAAGGAAGGACCCCATGAAAAAGCACACATCAGAGTCCCCCCTTCAAATCAGGAGCCCCCGCCCCCTTCACATAAGAGCCCCCCTTTCACATCAGAGTACCCCATTATATCAAGGGCCCCCCTTCATATCAGGAGCTCCCTTCTTTCACATCAGAGTACCCCCTTTCACACTAGGATCCTCCTTCACATTAGAGCCCACTACTTTCACATCAGATTACTCCCTGCTCCATGGAAAGGCATGATGCAGAGGCACCTCTGAGGAAGCCATAAGGCACCCTAGGGTGCCGTGGCACATTGGTTGAGAAGGGCTGGTTTAGAGCAAGGACACACCCCAAACCTTTCTCCTACCAGAGAAAAGTTTTCTGCCAACAAGCATGGAGGCATTGGTGAGCTTTCTTATTAGAATGCCCAGAACATTTACCAAAATGAGTGTCTCAGATGGAACCTATAATCAATTATTTGTGATTTTATACAAATAAATAAATATACAAGTCAGTGATTTATAAATGTGTAAACTTAAAAAAATAAATAAATAAAACTGACCAAAAAGCAATCTTGCTTCCTTTAAGGTCCCATTGATATGATATGCCATTCATGGATTGAGTACCCCCAACTAGACTGGATTAAAATTATGTGGAGTCTGGATTTAAAATGTATCTAAACCCCAAACCAAAAATGTTATACAGCTTATTGTGGCTTACCAGTCCTTAGATATGTTGGCTGAATTAATTTTATCTTTTTTTCAGGTTTTTTTGTCCCTTTACTTTCACCTATTAATCCTGTGAATAGCACACCTCCTGTCCCTGGCTAGGCTACACTCACTCCTCCAGTATGTATGGTGGGAGCCAAGGCTGTCACCCAGGCTGAACATCAAACATGTATGTTTTTGTCCATATCTATTACATAAAGGAGATTAGTAGTTTCAAGAAGGAAGATCCCTTCCTTCTGGAATGGTTATTTTGTGTACTTGCTGAAAATTTTCTTAAACTAAAAATAAACCCAATGCGACCACCATATCTAAGGAATGGCAAGCTGCAATATATAAAAATGTTTTGTTCTTGATTTTAGTTATTATTTTAATGACAGGTTTAGCTTATCTCAAATTCCCATAGATATAAACCCCAAGACTTCCAATTATTTTCAGAGTGAAGTTTTGGAATCACTGCGATTCTGCTTACTTTTTGTGTTGGTTAGCTTACTGTAGAACTGTGTTTGAAAGGATTCTCAGAGATATTGTCATATTGTTTCAGCTTCATACTGTACCGTGTTCACTGGTTGTATTCATGTCTTTGATTTCTTTTATTTATCTGTGACCGTCCTATCATTATTAATCCCCTACATAACTCACCTGAAATGTACGTTTGCTCGTGTAATTCAGTTACACTTAGTAATTCCGCATCCTGCTGCTGACAGCTCCTCCGCGCTTGGTACCAAGTCAGAGCCGCATTTGAAATTATTTGATAGTTGACTCCAGTGATGGAATCTGTTGTCCACATATTTTCCATTGTAGCTGAAAAGAGGAAACAGATTTAAAGGAACAGCATCCTAAAGAACTGCCAATCCAAAAGGAGTTTTATTTGTGAAAAATGATGCACAGCTCAAGCATCTTAATTACACATCACCTTAACAACAATAGACTGTATGGATCATGACCAGGGTATGTCAGAGGTAGCCTGCCCTTCCATATAACCCTCTTAATAACCCACACACCAAACTCCAACCTATGACCAATTTTCCCAAGAAAAAACACACATTAGACTTTTATAGAGTTCAAAGGCCACAGCAGCACTCTTTAGTTAAATGCCAAAAGTAAATACTGTATGTATAAATAACCATGTAATAATATAAGTTTATGAAGAAACAACTGGTTTCCATGTCCTTGAAGGCATTTAATGGAACAAAGCCACCCATAACCATATGACGTCTAACGCCAGCTAGGCTCCATTCCCTTGTACAGGAAACTTGTATATTTTTTTTAAAAGTCAGTTTTATGTTAATTGAAATAGAAGAATTAGACATAAACCCAGTCTGATTAGGGTGTATTAAAGCTATTATTAATCAGGGTGTATTAAAGAAATTATCACCTTGTTTAATCCATTCGCTAATATCTTGGGTAAGATTTTAAAAAGTAGTGAAATTGGACGCTAGGATTCAGGAAGTAGTGGATCTTTACCCTTTTTTGGGATTGCTATTTTAAAGGCATCATACATCGAGGATGGAAGAAGGCCCATATCAAATGCTACATTGAAGGTGTTTAAAAATGTTGGGAGTAAGATATCTCCAAATATTTTGTAGAGCTCTATGGGTGAGCCATCTAACCTGAGTGATTTACTACCCAGAAGCTCTAGCAAAGCTGACTCCAGTTCCTCCATTCTCAATGGAGCGTCCAAAAAAAGTCTATCAGATCCAGACATTAAATTTGTAAATGAAGGGCCAATTATATAGACTGGTGTAGGTCATCATTACAGGTGAATGCAGTTGGGACTGGGGAAGGGGGTGGAGGGGGTGTTATGAATTAGTTCACCTTTTAATTTTTTGTAAAATTTGAACTAACCTTTACATTTTTACTGACCTATAAAAAGTCTTCTGACCACTGTCGACATCTCTTGCACCCTTTTTCCCTACAGTTTATTTGCTGAATTTAGCCATGAATCTCTTGAAGTTGGACCAGACAAGAGAGATCAAAATAAGGAAAAGGATATCACAGTTTACACCGGTGTGTTTTGGAAATGCGTATTAAGTGCTCATTTGTCCACACTTTAAATCAATGCATGATAACACCTCAAGCACAGTGCAATGGGAATGGTGCCCCAAAGCACCACAACATACTTGTGTTGTAGTGCACTGCAATGCACAGATCTGCATTGTGTTGCCCTGCACTGAATAAATGCTGCCTATGTGGGTTTAGTGTACTAAATAAGCTTTGGCAACCTATTCAAAATAAATCAGCTGCTTAGAGTAGAACTAAACTCTCGAATTACAATTAATATTTTTTTACACTATGCCCCCAATAGTTAGATTGTTGGTCTACTTTAGAAAAAATGTAAATATGAAGTTTTGTTAATTGAATACTTACCTACACGTGTGCTCTTACAGAAACTTCCATTTATGTGCCCTTTCACTCCAAACACAGGTGCACCGTTATTTATCCTCAAATACAAGTTGCAATAGAATTACATGTCCCTACATGCATAGTGCTATGAATCCTTGCAATGGCTTGTAGATATCTGGGGAAGCAGTGACACAGGCGGTGGACACTGTCAATCACCCTCTTCGGTAGGTGGGCACGAATGACAGGAGAATGGGCTTCAACACATCCCGCTGTGCACATCCAGGCCATATGTGCTGGCAAGGCGTGCATCAATGAGCAGGATTGTAGTACTTGTTGCATTATTGAGCTCCCCTAGCTGACACTGCTGGTTGTGCTAACAACCTGTTGTCACCTAGTGACAGGGACAGGGAAGAGGCCTTTTGGAAAGCAGTAAGAATAGGTAACATTGCATATGAGGATACCACTGATGGTTTGCTGGATTGCATCTACTAAGAGGACATCATGGTAGGCAGCAGTTTTATTGAATAAAAATGTAACATTTACATGCACTTTATATAGTTAAATGTGCACTGCTGCAACACACTGGTATGAATGGGCCCTAAATATTGAGGCTTGGTTCTGCCCCCTCTAACCCTGCCACCCTGGGCAATGGCCCATGAATCCCTTTTGGTAAAACTACCCCCATACACATCATGCCATCCTATTTTTCTGGCGTGTTACTGTACAAATGCAAGATAAGCTCACAAGACAAACAGAGAACTACCTCCTTCTTCCAATGCATATCTATGGAACACCAGTGCACAACCAAGGCTTTCACCAGTCCTTCGTCATAAACAATAGAAAAAAAGTGTTTGCACATGGTTCTGGGTCCTGTAAAAAGCCTCTTTATTTATTCAAGAATTTATTTATTTTCCTTGAATAAATAAATAACACTTTTACCGTATCCGCAACTGTGTGCAAACACTTTTTTGTACTCTACGAAATTCCTTTTTGTAATTTTTTTCTTTACTTATTTATACTTCAGTTTCTTTTTACAGTAAATTCAGTTGTGGTGTTTTAAAGGTTCTCTGTCAAGAACTCGGCCCCAAGAGTGAGGTGGAAGTGAACAGATCCTGGTCAGGGGGAGAGAGAGGAAACTCCATGTGACTTTCTGACATGTGGAATGATCTCTCTTGTTCTGCCCATTGTTTGCTGTGACCTTTTTCCTCTGATGTAATCTGGACAGTGAAGTGTGTTATCAGGCGGAGAGGAAATAGGAAGCAACTCACTTTCTAGAGGGTTTGTATACTGCTGGGCTCAGGCCTGAGGGTCATTTCCTCCTCCAGCACAAAAACCAAAGCTCTGAAATTAGGTCTCCAAGTCACCGATTTTACACTAGCACTCTGTTTATGTAACATGGCCGTATTGGGATGTGTTTAACCACTTCAGCTCCTACACCTGTAAATAGGGTTGCCCCCTGTCCAGGATTCACCCGAACAGTTCGGGTTTTGAATGCTGTGTCCGGGTTTCATGGCAGCAGAAACCCGGACACAAGATGCCAGGCAGACAGGGGCAACCAAAATTAAGATAGGGGCTACTGGCCCCCCACTGAAAATACTCTCGACTGTGATATTTACATATGAATGGGTGGCGCTATTTACATCTGAATAAGCCGTGGCTCATTTTCCCAAAATAAATATCGGCACGTTGCTAGAGTGTTCGGGGTTCACTTGAAGAAAAGGTGGCAACCCTACCTGTAAACCTCATAAAAAATACCCACAATAGGGAAGGATATCCCCAGTTTATTAAACAGGAGATCCTCCATGGTAAATAACAGAACAAGCATATACACTTTGGGGTTGTACACATCACAAAGCTCATACTAAACTCCTATCTTGTTGGGGGGTCAGAGGATCTGGTGAGTTACCTATGTGGTACCACAATGGAAGCCATACTGTGTTTGCTACCATTTCAATGGTGACTTTTCATTGTAAGCCCCCCATAGTAAGAAATGTTTGCTCCAATTAAAATGTTACACCACATTTCAGTATACAGTGGGTATAGAAAAGAATCACCACCCTTTAAAATAATCACATTTTGTTGATTTGCAGCCTGAAATGAAGACAGACCCAGTTTTTGTTTTATCCAGCTGTATTAACTTATAACATCCAAATGAAAGATATAACACCAACATGTCAAAAAAAAACAAAAAAAAAATCAAAAAGAGAATCACTGAGTTGGAAAAAGGATCACCCCCTTGTGTCAGTATGTTGTTGAACCAACTTTTGCTTTAATTACAAACTGCTTTTTTTTCTGACATGTTGGAGTTATATTTTCACTTTGATGTTATAGGTTAAGACAGCTGGATAAGAAAGGGGGGGGGGGGGATTCTTTTCTATACCCAATATATGTTCAATAACAATAAATGCAGTACACATACACTATGATGTTCTCCAGTAGGGTGGTCTCTTATTGGGTCCCTTTCTTCTATCCTTTTTTATTTTCCCACTTACCCATTTTTGCTGTAAAAAAAAACAAATTCTCTGTTCTTCCCCTTGTATCTCAGTAAACAGCATGGGTTATCTCTTAAATGGAAAGTGCATGGACACTTGGCAGTTACTGAAATAACTGCTAAACCTAGTGATCTATATATAATTTAGTAGCATTATGGCTACTAAAGGGAGGAAATAGGAAATATGTATGCTCCCCAGCCACATCTAGTGGCCATAATGCAGCTTTACAGTGTAATACATTCGACCTGAAAAGAAAATATATTAAAAACTTAGTTTTTATCACAATTCACACAAAACGATTGTTCACAGATATCCGCAGGCTGAAGGGCCCAGAGAATTGTTTATAAATAGACCCCTTAAAGTGTATTTAAAACCCCCCCCCCCCACCAAAAAATTTTTTTTTTAAATCTTTGCTTGTTTTGGTATGTTAAACATACAATTGAAAGAATTTTGTTATATCTGTTAGAGATCTGTTGATTCTGCCAGCAATTCAGTGAGCATGCACTGTGCCTGTGCTGCACTGAAATCTCAAGCAGTGTTATCAGCCCTGCCCAGTAACCTCCGTGAACTGCAGAACAACTCACCCTATGTTATGAAGGTGAGGAGACGGGGATATATGCTGTAGTTTAAATCAGGGATGAGCAGCTTAGGGTGACAATGCTGCTCCTCTATAGATTCAATACCGGAAGTGAGCGTTGTCACCATGGGACAAGGTAAAAATAATGGGGAAAAAACCAATGCATTGCATTTTTGTCCTTGGGTATAGATACATTTTAAACATTTCTAACAAGGCTGAGTTATTCTGGTCCGGGTCAGAGTACCTGACATAAGAAAGGAGAATCTCTGCCAAGTAGCCAACAAATTACAAGTGATAAAGTGCTTTAAAAAATGCTCTGTGGAGTTTGTAAAAAAATTTTTTTCCATGAAAGAACGGCAACAGAAAAGGTTTATATAACATAAAACACACATAAAAGGCAGAAGGGAAGCAGAATGATCAGTGGAACATGGACACAAGTTTAGAATCACAGCAGTCACTGTTGCCTGCCGGTTATCATGTAGCAGAGGTCTCTCTGAATCGTTATTCCAAACACAAATGTTGCTTACACAGAGGATATGTAGACAGAGAGTGAACGGGACCTCTTGATGACAGAAACATCGTCAGAGGTTAATGATCAGAGCAGATGTTTGGTGTTATGCTAGTCAGATAGCTGCACCTTGCCTAAAATAACAATGACAAAACAAGCACCAGCACATGGCCTCTCCTCCCAAAAAAAGTTTTTAAAGGGCCACTATAAACTTGTTAATTTTCTATAGATCCACATGTGAAAGATAACAACATAAAGTTGGACTCCAGGCAAACAGATGTATCTACAGATTAAAAACATATACAGTATAAGAGCTGTCAAAGATTTGGTTATTTCTGTCTATCGAGTCCTGATATGTACATAGCAATGCCCTGTCTGGCAGGGGACCTGAACTTTCTCTGCTTTCACTTACAGCAGTGACTACTTTACAACACACACAGGGACCATGGGGAACAAAAGTAGTCACCCTCCAGAAGGAAGGACAGTGTCAGCACCAATTCAGAGATGATTTGAGGATCTACAGCCGAGTGATACACAAATAAGATACAATTGTATTAATACTTAAGGTACAGAAATGCATTTTTAAGGTTTAACTCCTGAGTTTAGAGTCACTTTAAATACATTTTTATTTTTATAGATTTGAAAGAGTGAGTCTTGTTGTGGTTCTCAGATCTACATTTTCTTTCCTATGTCTACAGAAGGTCAAACCATCAGCTATGTGACCCATGAAGAAATAATACACACAAAAAATACACAAAAAAAGGGTTGGTTTATCCCACAAGTGCTTTTTTCACCCCTATTTCCCCTTATCCTGGCTTTTCAAAATAACAAGTGTAATAATTAGAGTTGAGATGAGACGTATTGTGTAGTATAACACTTTTCATAATTAAAATTATACAGTTTTATTGAGGTTTATTCATCAGGAAAAAAACAACCTAGAAAGACAACTGAGGAAGGAAGCTATACAATTAAACAAATATCCTCTGGTAAGAAAAGGACATCACTGGTATCCCTGCAGATCTTCTGGCTGCATGCTTATACTTGGAGGAGACTGTAGCATGGTAGCATGATCATCAAGAGATGCTGGTATGCTCATTTACTGATATGACTACCCTTTTATCAAGCAATACAAAGAAATTTAAGGCAGCAGAATAATTAAGGATACCATTAAATCTCTAGAGAGAGAAGCAAAAAAGGTGAAATTTTATATTTACAGATTTTTTTGTTTTTTTTCTGGGATATTTTTAAAAAGAAGTTAATGAGTACAGAGATGTACCTGTTTTTTAAACAGAACCGCAGATAATGAGGATGATTCCGTAAAGCACGGCAACATTTTTCTGGCTCTTATGGCCATATTAGAAAGTCCTGCACATAAATTCATGAACACCATGTGTTTAATTGCTAATTGTAAAGTAGCAAGTATCCCTCCGCACTCCAAACTGGAATCCTGGTGAATAATTTCCAATAATTGCGATTTCAGATGCATGTAAAAAGTTTAGGTAGTTCTAATGTCCAACACTTTTACATTCTAGCGCTATGGTAGCAACAAATTTATTAAGAAATACTGCCATACTGGTGATAAGAAAATTGGGGGGTAAATAAGACCTTCTCCTTGTTTGAGCAAATTTCTGTTGCATGTGTAAGTATTGTATCACATGTCTGAGGCACCAGATTCATATACACCTTAACGACAGTTACATGAATCTATTACAAGTTGCGCCATTTGTTGCATGGACAGGAGACAGATTTTTAATCAGGAGACAGAATTCTAATGAGTGTCTACCACACTCTTTATGAATTCCAGGTAATATCTGCAAGCTTTAGGAACCTATAAATCCCAACTGTTCTACTAATGTAGAGATAAGTATGGAACGTTGTAAAAACTACAGCATATCATCAGAAGACCAAACACAACACTTACATTTATGTGGACAAAATCCATACAGCTTGTCTTTATCATAATCTGCTGTTGTAGAGCACCAGAGACCGCCATCATTTCTTCCATCAGTGGTACAGTCCGCATACCACTTGGAGTTAAACTTGAATGGAAAGACACAGGGCTGACCATTAGCATTTCCATTTAAAGAAAAGGTCTCTGTACAAAAAAAAAAAAAAAGGGAGAATAATATACCAAATATACAAAAAGTCCTTCTCTAGAAGAACACCGGATACAAATATTTATCAAGAGTAAAGAGTATTGCTGGGTGGAATTCCATATCAGTCAATCAGACTTCACCTTTTGTTCAGTGTACAATAATCATAACTGCTGAGAACCATGAGTCAACCCAATTTATATAACAATTTGAGTCCTGGCCAAGTAATATACAAGACAATTTGCATTGGAAGGGTAGGGCCACAGCTTTATTGGATTAAAGCAGCATATGTTACTAACATATTTTTTACTAACATCTTTAGTAAACCAACATAACTCAGTAGCAGTAACAGGAGGACTTCAAGCACCTAAAATCTACACAGGTGCCAGACCAGCATCCAGTAAGCAATACTCACAGAGGACCTACAGCCAGAACCCTTTAAAGATTGCAAAGTAAAAAACCGCCAACAAAGCCGCAATAACCTTAAAATAAGGAGGGTGGTAGGAGACATTCTTGATCACTGGTCAGGCTGCAAGAGGTCAATGTCCTTCCCCTCACACATTTCAAGGTGCCACCAACTTTACCACCCTGTCCAAAGATAGACCAATCCCAAAACTTTAATCTGCATAATTAATAAAGATTATTTTGCCATGCGAGGGGGCAAGAGGCTTAATCCACTGCCCTCCATAACAACTA